CCCCCCCCCCCCCCCCCCGGCCAGCGCATGGCTGCAGTTGTGTAGAAAGGGTGTAGATGAAGAGAGAGGCTCCGAGCACCATGACGAGGGACGAGCTAGTCTATTATTGGAAGTCACCGCTTGGCCATTGAAGGCGGGCGAGGCTGAGGTGGCTGAGGTGGCTGAGGTGGCCACGTCCCTCTGATGCGGTGTGGATATCCGTTTGTTTGGCTGCTTGGCTGGCTGGTTGGTCGCGTGCGGTGCGAAGCGTGTACATACTGATTCACTGACTGACTGACGGACAACGTGTGTGCACGTGTGAATGCGGACGGACACTTGTGTCAACATTTACTTGATTCAACATGGAATCGAATCGCCGACATTCATTCACCAAGACACTCACTTGGTTGGTGACGCTACGACCCAACAGTCAGTCCCACGCAGGCAGGCATGAGCTCGCAACAAACGTGTCCTTCCACACATGTCTGTCAGCGGAGCACTACATGCGACAAAAGTTCCCAGCCCACCCAGGGAGACGGCACGTAGGTAGGGTACGGTATGGTACGGCAGGGGCGAGATAAACTGATAAACCATCCACTCACTCACTCACTCAGCGCACGACGGGAAAAATACCTAAGCATCCATGGGATGTATCTGCCTTTCCCTCTCAAGACCCGACCCCTTGTGGCTCCTTCGAGCCAGGCTCCCTCCCTGTCCGTGCAACTAATTGCATTGCATCGACGTACCCGACCTACCCAGCTACCTGGTACCCCCCGTCCATCCATCCATTCATCGGCCAGCTATGACCAGTGAGTAAAGTGAGTGCATCAAGAGAGGAAAGACAGAATAGGCGAGAAAATAAGATAGGGGAAGGCGGTTGGGTGGCTTCCAAAGCAATTGAAAGGCTCAGTCAGGTCTTCCCTCCCTCTTTCCCCCAGCAGATAGGCTTACACACATGCGCATACCCATTCGTTTCGAAGGGCGCTACATACTGCCGCTGACGCCAAACTACACAGCCAGCCACTTGTTTGTTCACCCGTGTGTCTCGTTCTCCGCCAGTGGCCCGCGTAGATAATTTAGAGGTAAGAAGAAAGAAGATACCGCAATGACATGGACTTGGATGGATGCAGCCAGTCGGTAGGTGAAGAAATAAAACTTGACACACGGCGCTCGCGCAACACACACGCAAAAACACGTCACACCACCGCCTTACTGTCTGTCTGTCTGTCTGTCCGGCCCGCTGCAATCCAACCAAACGACCTATACAGCCACAGAAAAAGCCCTTGGGGATCCACTCATATCTTCCTTCATCCGTGCATTGGATGACACTGTACTCACTCAGCTACGTGTACGTGTACCGCATGAATGAATGCATCATTGATCCATTCGCCATCATGCCTCCGTCGTGACGGCTTCCCCTGTCGCCACCCCTATGGAACGCAGCGCCGTGCAGCTTGACACAAGCGCATGACACGCCGTCACACAGCAGCGGGGAACAGGAAGATACCAAACAATCGACGGCAAGCCAAATAAACCACACCGAGAAACAAACAAAACGGCCAACCGAATGAATCAGTCCCCCCGCCCGATCGATCGCTCAGACATCAAAGTAGCGGTCGAAGTCCTCTGGCGGGTCCACATTGGGCCACCGGATGTCCGTCGCCACGCGCCACACACGAACCTGCACACAGCTCACGGCACGAGACAGACCACCTTGATTGCAGCGATCTTCTTTGTGTTTCGTTGCCCGAGTGACTGACCTCGTTGCAGTCTCTCCCCAGTTTCTTGAGCGTTGAGGGCCCGACACCCGCCTTCCTCAGCAAGGTCCCCTCAGCCTCCAGGGGCGCCAGTGAGGGGAGAAAACCCAGGTCGGGCCGCCTCACAAACGCCCCCACAGGCAGCGCAAAACTCACAGCGTCCACCTTGATCAGCGGCAGCGGCAATTCGCCCTCGGGCAGTGACGATGCCACGCCGTCTTCGGTGAAGTCGAAAGTCATGTTGTCTGCTGGCGGAAGGCGGTGCTGGTGCTTCTCCGACAGGCCTCGGAATGTGCTGCTGGTGAAGTGGTCGGTGTTGATCGCTCCGTCGTGTGGCAGGCACTGGTCGGCAGTCGCGCCGACGAATGCCACGGGCCAGAGGAGGCCGCCGTGGGGTGGATCGAGCCAGGGGGAGAGCGTCTCGTTGGATGCGTTGGCGGAGGAGGAGGGGGCGGGGATGAGCAGCCGCTGGAGGGACTCCTCGTAGAGGTCGTCAAAGAGCTCGGGAGAGATGGCAGTGGAGGGCTCCACAAACATCACCCAACCACCCTGAGAGAAAGCAACCACCACACACCAGGAAGAGACAGGCTCAGCACACACATGGAATCGGTGGCTCCACCGCCCCACGCTCTTACATCCATTTGAGTCCTCTTGGCTTCGTCCCTCTCCTCGGCAATTCTCTCCCTCAGCCTCTCCACCCCCTTGTTCCACAGCCGCAGCTGCACCGACCAACCCACAGGCACGCCGCCAGAGCCTCCCTCGCCCCTCACAAAGTGCGGGGGAGCCGTCAGACCCTCCGCCGGCATGGCCAACGTCACATGGTCCCAGTTGTCACTGCCGAGGCCCATCTCGCTCACCCACTGCTCCACACGGGTCCTGTCGGCGGCCGATGGGGGAGCCACCGCCTCGGCCACGATCAGGTGCAGCCGCAGCATGTGTGGCGGGTGGCCTTCTCGCTCCGCGTCGTCTGCCCTTCTGACGCCATGGCGGTACTGCGCCAGTTGGAAGCCGGCGAGAAAGCGCGTCAGGTCCAGGCGCTGCGTGACGTGGCGCCAGGTTGGGCACACCAGGAAGATCCACTGCACTGTGGGAGCCGTGGTCGGAGCGCTGGGAGGAGGGGCGTGAGGGAAAGGGGGTTGCCCGACATCTGCCGACTCCTGCCGATGGCTTTGCGGCAGTGCTGCTGGTGGGCCGTGCGCCGTCTGCTGCCTCCTCCTGTATCTCGCGAGGTCCTGGTGTAGTTCGTTGATCCGTGTGGTGAAGAAAAGCTGCTTTTCGTTGGCCGCCCGAATGAGCTGCTGCAGCTGCCACTCGAGCTGCACCACTTTCTCGTGCATCTGCTCGATGTCCTGCCGCAATTCTCGCTCCGCCCAGAGGCTCTCGAGCAGCCACAGGGCACTGAGAACAAACGGCACGGCGATGACTATCGCCCTCAGCCACCGAACGTTGACGACGGGGGACCGCTGAGGTGACGAAGGGCTGGGGGAGGGAGGCAGGGAGCCTTGCAGGACGGCCTTACAGATGCCCCACGACTCTGACAAGATCTCCGATAAGATCTTCATGCTTCATTGTCAGGGTCCTCTTGGGCTGCCTCGCGGGAGAAAGGAAGGAGCCTCCTTCAAGCAAAAGCTCGCACAGGCGATCGGGGGGAAAAGGGCCCTCTCATCGGCCTTTGCAGTGCTATTCGTCTAGTAGTAGATGGGCAGAGTCTAACGCAGCGCCCCCAGCATGAAATACCCATCCCCCGATGAGCAGCTCGGCCACTCGGTGAGCCATCTTCCGACCAGCCGCAGCAGCAGCAGCGCGGGGGAGGAGATCCGGCAGTGCGGCAGCAGTGCATCTGCCGCCGTGGGTGGCGTTCAGGGGGGCTCACCTTCTGCGGATGGGGCGCGGGTGTTTCTGAATGTGTATGACCTGACAAATGGCTGCGTCAAGTTCAATGACGTCGCCCTGCGGATAGGAACAGGTACGCTCCCTCACACACGACAGACACATGGGGGAGGATGCATGGGTGAAAAAGAAAGATCAGTGGTTCATGAGTTCCTTTGCACTGTGTCTGTGCGCAGGGATGTACCACACGGGCGTGGAGGTGTATGGCGTCGAGTACGCCTTCTGCAAGACCGAATGTGAGCCCCACTGCAAGATCTCTCCGGTCCTCCTTCTGATGCTGTTTGTTGTGTTGTGTTGTGTTGTGTTGCGTCGCATGGTCATGGAGTGCAGGCAGCGAGCCGGCCATCTTCAGCTGTGAGCCGGGGGAGGCGCCGGAGCACGTCTTCCGCGAGAAGATAGACATGGGGTAAGCAAAGCACCGGGATGGAGCGAGGGAGAGAGGTCGGGAAAAACTGCCCACCGACCGCATTGAATTTCAGGCGGACGAGTATGACGGAGGGTCAGGTGAAGGACAGCATGGAGCGCATGGGGCACCGGTGGAAGGGTGCGCACGGAACCCACACACCCTCGTACTGGTCCACTCATCGTGTCGGTTGTTCTGTGTGCTTGGTCAGGGCATTCCTATGATTTGGTTTACAAGTAGGGGACGGTACGTATGTGTTCACGCGCGCATGCGTGTATGTCTCCAGGAACTGCATCACCTTCGCGGAGGAGTTTTGCCTCGTGCTCGGTCCGCTGGCCTCGCCGGCCAACCCATGACGCACAAAGACATACAGCCCTTTCTCTCAGCCGCACTATGCGTCGCGGTATGTGTCTGTTGTGTCTCTTTGCTCTCTTCAGGTGTGGGTGCCCTGCCCGTGTGGGTGACGAGCGCGTCCTCGACGGCCAAGGGTTTCCTAGAGACGTGCACCACATGCGAGCACAACATCAGGGTACGTATTGACCAACACAAGGCAGGCAGTAAGGCAGGCAGTATTGGTGGCTCGTTTTGACAAAAGGAGAGAGTGTTGCCATTCGTTAAGTGGCTGTATGTATGCATGGGTATACCTGTGCAGCACGTGAGTGGTATCGTAGGACAGCAGCTGGCCATCGGCCTCCAAACCACCGTCACCGTCTTCGGTAGGCAACCGAATGCAAAGGAGACGAAGAGATAGATAGATGTGTCACGGAAATGTCACTCACTGTGTGCCGTCGTTTGCTATGTGTGCAGGTGAGGTGCTGTCGGGGGCTCAGCAGGGCCTGCAGACCATAGCGGAGTCAGAGGTACGCCAGCGGCCAGCATGCCTGCCTGCCTGTCGTGCAAACGGACTCCTTGTCTATGTGCGTGTATGTGGTGTCCGTTTGTATGGATGCAGGGCATGCGAGCGTTCCTGGAGAGTTGGGACGCCGGCCTCCAGGCCGTGCGCGAGAAGATAGAGGGCACGCAGGTGATCAAGGCGCTCACAGGCACACGTGACAAGGACGAAAACACCTCTCAGCGACACACTGGTAGGCAGGCGCCCGTGACACACTTTGGGAAATTCGTCCATTCCTATTTGCCTTCCTTTCATGTAGCTGCTGCCAACGTGCCGTTCCCCTCGCCAGTGGAGGGCATCTCCCTGCTGCACAGCCGCAACCAGGGGGCCACACTCACGACGCAATCCAGCGCATCCCTCACCACATACGACCGCCCCCTCGCCCCGCTGCCCACTCAGCCCCGATTCTATACTGCCGACGGCGTCATGGTCGAGGAGGCCATGCCGCCCAACCGCACACACGACGACTACCGGCCGCCTCTGGTGTTTGATCGGCAGGAGCAGCCATCCGGCGTGGGTGTGGGTGAGGTGGGGGCGAGGGGCGGGAACCGGGTGGTGGAGAGGGGCAAGGGGAGGGGCGTGCACCTGCTGACGCGGTCGACACGCATCCCTAGCCTGCTGACGGCGGAGGAGGAGGGGGCTAACGAACAGGTCAGTCGTATGCAGTCAGTGTTGGGGAGAGCTGCCGTACACATGAACCGTTTTGTGTCTCTCGGCTGCGCTGGTGCAGGCTGTGCGAGGGGGTAGGGAGGGGTGGGCGGAGGGAGAGGATGACGGGCGGGGACTGGGAATGATGCATGCTAGCCTAGCAAGGGGGGGCGGGTGAGCTGAGCGATTCCTAGATGGCCACATACCATACGTGGAGTGGACGCAATACATAACATAGCTGACTCGGTTGATTTGCTTCTTGACCAGTGGCTGTGCAGTCAAGTGAGATGAATGAATGCCTTAACCAACAGGCTGATCTGACTGACACGGGCAGAGTCTCACACACACGCGCATTCCTCATGCACCCGCCGTTCTGACACCACACGACCCCTAACAAAACCACCCGCCAGTTGCGCGAAGAACCAGGCAAAGACACGGCGCACCTACTCTGTCTGGTGTCTGCCTCCCATTTCTGGTCACGTCCAAAGCAACACCGAGTTGTCTGCCCCTGCCGTGAGCAGCCACGGCTGCGTCGGGTGCCACATGGCATCGAGCACGCCCAGGTCGTCGCGGACGGTGTGGCCGCCCTGCATCCACACAACACATACACATACACATACACCGATACGTTTGTTTGATGGGGCGTGTGCATCGTCTGTCCATTTCTCCCTCCCTCCCTGTGTCTGCCTGACCTGCAGTTTCTTGAGTGGTATAATGAGGGGGTTCTGCATCAGGTCGGAGAACACCTTGGCCTGCAAAAGGTGCACACACCTGCCGGCAGGCAGGCCAGGCCACACACGATAGACACACATGTGCACAGGGGGCAAGGGCAGGTGACTCGTGTCTGGTTGTGGTGTGTACCCATCGTCTGATGCGGAGGCCATCAGTGGATAGCGCCCATGAAGAGCCACCTGACGGACGGCGCGGTCGTGGTACCTGCACACACACCAGAACGCACCCACAATGGTGTCGGAGAGCCCTCGGCCAGCCCCACGCCACTAGGCCTATGTGTTGGTTGGCGCACCTGAGGACTTTGTAAGGCTTGTTGGAGAGGTCCAGGTCGAACCAGATGAGCCGCCTGTCATAGGTGCCCACCACCACATGGTCGCCGCTGCGGTGCACGTGCATCGAGCTGATCCACTTGGCGCCAGACACCAGCGTCTTGAGCAGCTGCTGCGACTTGAGGTCGTACACGCGCACGGCCGTCCGTGTGGCGGCGAAGAACCATGGCTTGGAGGGGTGGAATGAAACTCGCTGTATCTGGCCGCCCTTGGACTTGCGGAAGGGCCGGCGGGACACCTGGGTGGTGATGGAGTGCAGCACGCACTGAGATGAGGGGGCGGGGGAGAGAGGGCACACCACGGCCAGATAATGACCTGGATGGGAGGAAAACAACACAACGGCGAAATGACACGGATCATTTCTCATGAGCTGCCGACCACCACGCTTACCTTTTTGGTGCCACTGCAGCTGGTGGATGACGGCCTCGTGTATGATCTTCAGGCGGACCCCGTGTTTGCCCAGGACCGACCGCCGCGGCACCTCCTCCCACTTGATCTCCCTCTTCTCACCTGCCTTGCCCTCACCCTCACCGTCAGACCCTTCGGCGTCCTCCTCGCCCCCCGCCTCGCCATCCGCCATCTCACCCTTGCGCAGCTTCAGGACTTCCTCTGCCTTGGCCGACATGCTCATGAGCTCCTCGGTCGGCAAAGATGGGGCGTCGGGCGGTGATGCTGGTGTGATGGTGTAGGTGGGGAGTGTGGGTGTGAGGAGGTAGAGGCACTCCTCGGTGGCCACTGCGACGATGGGCAGGTCGGTTGAGGAGCGGGGGTTCCATGACGCTGCTGTCACCTTGCGCTTGAAGGTGATGCACTGAATTCAGTGCATCAGAGACACACACACACACACACAGATATACACACACACGCTGTCTGTGCTGTTTTACCTGGAAGGCGCGTCCGCTTTTGAGTTCCCATATCCTGAGTGTGCAGTCCTCGCCACCGGTGAGCACCCACTGGCCGCAGGGCGACAACGATGCGCAGCGCACCATCCCCGAGTGACCGTCATATGACACACTCACTGCCAGAGGGAACGGACGGAGATCCTGCACGACACACACAGGGAAGACACGAGTTGCTTAAGGCATTTGTGTGTGTGTCCCGCTCACCGCAGGGCTGGACAGCTTTGGCAGCAGTGCTTCTGGGTCGATGTTCATCCGCTGCTTGATCGCACGGGGGCATAGGTAGAGATCCAGGCATCGCTCAAACCTGCAAGTACACGCACCCACATCAGGTGGATGCAGAACGAGCCACTTCCTCTCTCTCACAGTGTCTGTCCATTCACCCTACCTCTCGAGAATGAGTTTCTTGTACCCCGGCACCCGTCTGAGGCATATCTGCCGCCCGTCCCTGGGCTTGACCTGCGCCACGGTGCCCACGTCACCATCCTCCTCTATCTGCGCCTTCTCCTCCTCCGTCACGAAGTACTCCTCCGGCGGGTTGTAGCTCTCCGCATGGCCGGGCAGGGGCATCTTGGGCGCAGGCATGGGTGGCGGCCCCCTGACGCGGCCCTTGGGCGTGTCGGTCTCCTGGGTGATGTTGCGGCCCCAGATGTCATACATCTCGGGCTCGGGCGGGGGAGGGGGGCGCAGCTTGCCCTCACGGATAAGCTTGACCAGTCGGTGGATCTTCTTGGCCTCCCACTTGGACGGAAGGAATCGGGCTTTGGGAGGGTGGTCACGACGCATTGGGTGAATCCTGAGGAGAAACAAACAGCCGGTGCGTCGGTAGATGGGTCAGCCATCTGTCTGTGTGCGTGTCTACTTGTCAGGGTAGTCCATTGGCGGAATGTAGTAGTCGTCGGGGTCGAATGAGGGGTTGGGGTACTTGCCAGCGCGGATGCGACGAATCACCTGACAGACAGACACAGAAGAGATCGACATGCAGGCACCAGAAACAGACGTACGTGTGTTTTGTGTGGTTGCCCTCTCCCTCCATGTCGGCAGCCTACCTACCTACCTACCTCAATGTCTGTGTCGGTGAGGGTGATCTCCCTTTGGTTCTTCATGTCCTTGATCTTCTTCCAGTGGTCGGGGTCGTCCGCCTTGGCCAGCAGCGCGTCCACCTCGCTCGCTTTGAGCGTCTTCATCACCTTCTCGCCCTCAGACGTGTAACCTGCACACACACACACACACACCCCACACCCATAGGCGCGCGGGAGAGATGATTCTTAACTTCATACAGCGATTCGTGTCGTCTCATGCTGTGCTGTGCTGTGCTGTATCATGACTGACTGACCGATGTGGTCGAAGTTATCGTACCACTCAAGGGGCACATCACCGATGCGGTTGATGTCCGCATCATCGTCGCTGTCGTACAGCTCGCTGTCCTCATCTTCATCATTGTCGTCGTCTTGTTCTCCCTCGAGCGGCCCCTCCTCCTCCTGCTCAGCCGCCTCCCGCTGTCGTCGCTCCTGCCGCATCTGCTTGAGCGACATCTCCACGAACTTCTTCTCGCGCTTCTCGCGCTTGGTGGGCTTTTCGCCTGCTGCGGGTTCGTCGGTCTCCTGCGTGGCCTCATCTTTGTCAGAGGGCTCCTCCGCGTCATCCTCATCCTCGTCGCTTTCCTCCTCTTCATCGCTGCCCTCCTCTTCTGACTCGTCCTCGTCTTCATCTGATTCCTCCTCCAGCTCCGTGCGGCCGTATTCGACATCGTCCCGCTCGTTGTCCATGACGAAGTCGCCCGTCGCTGCATTGTCGTCAGCCTCATTCTCATCCGACTCGCCGCCCTCCTCGTCCTGACAAACACATTCAAAGCAGTATATATGTCATGAGTCAAAGGAGCGCGTCACAATGCAGGTGTCTGCCTTACCGATGGGTCATCGATGTTGAGCAGCACTTCCCCGGCCTGTTCATCGTTGTCATCAGCTGCTGCTTCAGTGTCGGCCGTCATGCGAGGCAGGATGCCTCTCTTCTTCAACGCACGGCCAGACATTGACGAGAGAAGCACTTTGACAATCTCTTGAACGGTAGATGATCTCTGTGGCCTAGATCTTCAGCCCAGCTGTCCTGAGGCCTTCACAGAGGTGTCCTCCTTGGGGCGAAAGAGTCGGGAGGGCATTTGCGAGCTTTTGGTTTTGCACATCAAGCTCGCAAAAGCGACTGCTGAGGAGAGCAGCCGCAGCCTTCTTGACACCAAGGTACGCAGATCTGGTATGAGGGAGGCAATACACAAACAAGTTTCCCGCCGGAACGGCGTTCTGTGCTCGGCACCTCTGGAACAGTGGGTGTGCTGTGTGGTTGTGCGGGTCAGATGGTGGCACCGGAGAAGAAGGTCAAGATCGTGAAGAAGCGCACCAAGCGCTTCATCCGCTTCCAGTCTGATCGCTTCATGAGAGTGCCGGTACGTACCGAGGAGCAAACAAGACAGATAGCGAGGCTGGGGAGAGGCAGCGAGGCACAGATGAGACCACAGAAAGGCCTGGAACGCAGAGGAACGGCTCGTTCATCATGCCTCCTCCTTTCCGTGTCTGTCCCCCCCCCCATCAGGACCACTGGCGGAAGCCGAAGGGTATTGACTGTCGCGTGCGTCGCCGTTTCCGCGGTTCGGTGGTGATGCCCAACATTGGGTACGGCTCCAACAAGAAGACGCGTCACATGATGCCGGACGGCTTCTACAAGTTCACCGTGTCCAACGTGGCGGAGCTGGAGATGCTCATGATGCACAACCGCAAGTACGTGGCCGAGATCGCCCACAACGTCAGCTCACGGAAGCGCAAAGCCATCATCGACAGGGCCGACAAGCTCAACATCAAAGTCACTAACAGGAACGCCAAGATGAGCACAGAGGAGAACGAATAGACCACGGGGGAGGGGAGGCCTGTGTGATTGGCTGAGGTCGGCTGGATGGAGCATGTTTTGAATGGTTGGTCTCCCTGTGTGTGAGTGGTTGGTGACATAATGCGGGCGACGTGCACGCTTACGTGTGCGCGTTTCTGCGGACGTGTGTGTGCGGCGGCTGTGTGCGTGTCGGTGGTCGGGAGGAGTTGAGACAGTCTTCCTTCATCAAGGCCACCCTCAGTCACTCATCAGGGTATCGGTATCGCCAAATGTCTACCTACCTCTACACGTCTAAGGCTATACATATACACCACACCATCCATCCGTCGAGCCATCCACTCGCCACGCCAGTGTTCTTCTAGAGGTCGCAATGGCAGTTGCAGTCGGGCACAGGGCAGCCTCTGAAGCCGTAGCGGTGAAACCACTCCAGCATGTGATCCGCACACCCGCCGTGGTGACACAACGTGCACCACACAAACCTGATCCACGGACAGACACAACACACAGAGAGGGGCAAACGCCTGTTAGACAGCCATCATAACTAACGTGCCAGCCAGAAGCCGACCGACCATTTGCTGACGTCGAGCTGTGCGGTGGGTGCGACAGATCCGTTTGTCTTGGCCCCGTCGTGTGCCGTGTTGAGCCTGGGCACGGGCATCAGGCAGATGGCGCACTTGGTCAGCTCCTTCTTGCAGTGCGTGTTGGGACACCGAAAGCTCAGCTGCAGTGCGACACACAGCACAGCAACACAAACAAACTTGTCAAGTACATACATATTCTGCCCTCCCATCCGTCCGCCATACCTGAATACCTGAAAGTCGTCTTCATCAGATGGTCTGAGCGTCTTCCTGGCCAGGGAGGGCTGTCCTGGCCCAGTGAGAGCCTCGTTGCAGTACCAGCAGTGCCGCGCATCGCCCCTTGGCACCACAGCCACCGGTCCCCCCGCCCCGCCCTTGTCCTTCTCCTTGTCCCTCCTACCGCTCATGTCAGGGTGGGACGTCTCGAGCACCAGGAGGTCGATGCACTGCAGCGTGCGGCCCCACCGCTGCAGCAGGGCTCGGTACTCGTGGAAAAGCAGCTGGATCAGCACAAATGGCTGATGGGGGGAGGGCTGGGGGTGTTGAACCGACTGGATGGCGGCTTGGTGCGGCCGGGAGAGGCCTGTGGCAGCTGCAAAGAGGGCCTGCGACACGGCACACATAGATGGACATAAAGAGACACACGCCACACATACACTTAAGGTGGCGATATATGTGATGGTGTGGGTGTGTGTTCAGATCGCACGTACGGGTGCTTGGAGGTCTCCGGTGCAGTTGACGTACCGCCTGACCATCTCCTCCTCGATCGTCCTGCCCCCTCCCTCCCCCTCGCCCTCTCCATGCCCATGGTACGGCCGCCCAGCCACTCCCACCAACCAGAACCCATCAAGCAGGCCGTCCCGGCAGCACACAGTCACCTCACTGTTGAGCCACGATTGCAGGACCGCTGGGCTGAGGTAGCGGAGAGCAAGTGCGGCCCGGAATCGCATTGAGGCGTAGCTGTAGATGTCGCTGTCAGTGGAGTCGGTCAGGGGCTGTGTGGGTGGTGGTTTGTCTGGTGAGGGAGGGGCAGTGGGCAAAGGCACAGCGCGGCTGGACAAGAAGGGGTTGGTGATGAGGTGCAGCAAGATGGCCTCGAAGAGAGCGGCAGGTGCGTCCACCTTGCTCTCCTCCTCCCCGTTGACGTCTTCTTTGTCTGCATCTCTGTCCTCCTGCCTCGCAGCCCACACCCTCTTGACAGCGGTCGTTTCCATCAGCCGCCGAATGCGGGACGGCCCATCAGCGGCTCCCACACCACCCCTGTAATCCAGTACTTTGGCGGTCGACCTGTCGATGTGGGATGTGACGGCCAGGATCACGTGGAAGGCGAACCGGAGAGTGAGGCCGTGGGGAAGACCCAGCCAGTCGGAGAGGGGCCGGTGCAGCAGCAGGTCGCTCTCGACGCGCCAGAGGCCTTGGTTGACGTCCCACTCCACTGACGGGGCACCCTCGCCCGTCTGCGGCGTCATCAGCCGTGCGAATGAGGCGATCACGCTCGGCAGGTGCCGCAAGATCTCCAGCCCACCTTCCTTGGCGTAGGGGGTGAGGGTCTCGACGAGAAGGGCCGCCTTGAGCAGGAGGTCGGCCCGCAGAAAGAGGATGCCCGTGAGGATGGCCTGCACTGCCGCAGACGGGTCAGCTGCCGCCATGTTGCTGCGGGACCAAGAAGACGCATCGACAGATGGGCCGAAGCCGAGAAAGGCCAAAGCCGCATCCCGCTTGGATGACGTGTAGACCATGATGGAGTCGCCCAGTAGTGTGTTCTCGACCAGCCCCGTGTCGTCCTCTTTCGGCAGCCGCAGGTCTGCCTCCTTGGTGCCATCGCTCTCCCTCCTGGCCTTGCCCTTAAGACAGTCTACCAGCCCCCGGTATGTCCGCCTGATGCCTCTCTCAGCGTCGGGCTCATTCTCATCGGCGTGTCCGGCGCCATCTCGCATGTCCAGGACCCTCTCCACCCAGGTCCAGATCTCAGCAGCGGCGGTGAGACGGTAGGCCAGCCGGCCGTAGAACGAGACGCGTTGAGTGCTGGTAGTGGGGTCGTTTAGCTTGGTGCGTCGTCTGTCGGTGGGGGGGAGGGGGATTGGGATGGGCTCGCGTGGGTTGGGGAGGGTGTGCGCCTGCTGCAGGACAGAGGGGGGGAGATACTGGTACAGCCGAATCGCTTGCTGCAAGAATCGAACCACAGTAAGGCGGGAAAGAAAGTCTGTTTGGATGCCGCACAGACGGCCTGATGGTGAGCTGACCTGTCTGAGTACGGCTGCATACTCGCTCATGTCCATGCCGTGCAGCAGGCGCTCCCGCTTGCCCTTGGCCGCCACGCTCTTGACGGCCGCCTTCCTCCTGCCGCTGTCGCTGTCCTCCTCACCCTCGCCATGCTCACCAACCGCCAGCCGCTCACGCATCAGCTCCGTCCCGTCAGACACACGCCACCAATCCACCATCCGAGCCTCCAGCGAACGATCGGCCGACTTCTCGGCCAGCGGCAGCGTCAAGGGGCCGTTGGGCAGCGGCTGGTCCTGTGAGGCGGCTGGCATGAGCACATCAGATGAGAAGGGGGGAGGGTCGATGGTGCCGCTAGTGGCGGTTGGCAGCAGGGGCACCGGGCGGGGACAGGGGGCCGTGGTGGAGAGTGCGCCGTCCTGGTGCAGGCAGATCAGTCGCTCCACACCGGTCTTGTCAGTTGGACAGAAGGCGAAGTCCATCAGCAGACTGTTCTTCTCGGGCGTAATGGCTCGAGCAGAGGGATACAGGAGCGGATGGCAGTCGGGTCTTGCTTCAGCTGGAGTGAAGACGCGGAGCCGGACGCTGTCTGCTGCCGTGTCGTCACCACTCATCTCGCCGAGAGTCAGTCGCTTGTAGTGGCTCCACCGCACCCTCCTCACCGGCCCGTCCACCTCCAATCGGCGGAATGTGTCGCCGAATCGCCTCCGATCAATAACCTCGATCAGGCCCTTGCCCTCACAGGCCATTGAGTGCCCAGCAACCATCTCAGGCGCCAATCCATTGACTGTCAGGCCGTCCACAGCCGCGCTGGTGTGCTTCTGCACGTCGGTCGAGCGGTAGGAGGCGGCATCGAGCAGGTCATGCATCGTCAGCCATCCACTCACACGTGACGAACCAGCGGCGCTGGATCCAGGCGAGAAGGCTTCCCTTGTCCAGCCAATCATGAGAGTGGAGGGCCCGACGAACCGGCATGAAACGGGGCGGGCGTGCTCGTGAGGGTGGATGGACAAGGGCGGAGCCAAAAGGGGACACGAAGCCGGCTGCGTCGCGTCCGACAGAAAGGGCGGGTGTACAGGCACATGCGGGGTCGTGTGCATCCAGTTGAGGTCATAGAGATAAACGCGGTGGTCCCATCCGATGGCCACCAGCCCGTTGTTGTAGGCGTTCCAGTCCACACACGAAGCCCGAGGGGTCAGCTGCTCCAGCGAGTAGGGCTGCAGCGTCAGGTCGGCCACGACACGGCCCTTGGACGAGTCACCAATGTCTATGAGAGCGGCAAAGTGCGAGTAGGCCAGGACGCCCTGGTAAGGCTGGGAGGCGTCGATTGAAGGGCTGAAGTCGACGAAGCATGAGTCGTCATCGAGAGAAAGCGGCTGTGACGTGATCCAATCGGGTGAGCTTGACGTGCTGTCGGCCCTGATGATGCCGTGGCGGTTCTCAGCCTGCCGGTAGCAGAAGAACCGGTCCTTGATCGATGAAAGGGGCACCAGGCGGTCACTCATGACTCTGCTGACGGTGACAATGGATAGATCTGGAAGCCCAGCGTAGCCTCATCAAACTGTTGATGCTTGCAGCAGCCGAATGGCCTCGTGAACTTCTTCCCCTCTTCAGGAGTTTGAGCTCGCACTGGCTGCGGAGCGCCGAGCCAGATCTGCTGCACGCTGCCGTGCTTCACGCCGCTCACACGCCCTAGGAGAGCCGTTTTCCTGCCACTGTAGTGTTAACCTGCCATCGTCACATTGCCCACCCGCCATTGCCCAAGATGTCAGTGAAGATGAATGTCTACGACCTCTCCGAGGGCATGCTGAGCAAGCTGGGCGGCGTGAGCAACGGCGCGGGCGGTATCTGGCACAGCGGCGTCATCATCGATGGGAAGGAGTACAGCTACGGCCTCTCCGGCGTCCAGTAAGCACACATGCACTCGCACCGGAACAGCCCCGGCTTGAGACATGCAGGACAGAGGCGCATGTTGTGTTGTGTGTGTCTTTCTGTCTGCGTCAGAGTGACGAATGTGGAGAACAGCTGGCCCGGCCCTGAGCTGCTGCGCGACTCGGTCGTGCTGGGCGAGTGCAAGCGTCGCCCGCAGGAGATTCAGGCCTTTCTCGAGGCAGCCAAGGGGCGATTCGCACCCGACAAGTACCATCTCACCAAGAATAACTGCAACGCCTTCACAGAAGAGTTCTGCAAGTGAGTGAGGCATGGGCACAACGAGGCTGGGTGCAGGGAGGGAGGGAGGGCGGGTCCGTGAGTGGACTTGGTGCTGTGTGGGTGCCGTGTGCGTGCAGGTATGTGTGTGGGAGCGGTCTCCCCTCGTACATCAGCGAGTTGCCCAACCAGCTCAAGGCCAGCCCCATCGGCCAGTCGGTCGAGGTATTCGTCGACGGACTCAACGACGGCATGCAGACCGCCGCTCGTGCCAAAGACGGTGGGGCAAACACATGTACACACACACACACTCCATTTGCTGGTGTGGTGTTTCCCTTCAGGTTCCAAGTTGGTGAGCACGGTGGGCCGCATGACGGCGGCAGCTGCATCGGGTGGCGTGGCCCAGGCGCTGCAGCTGTCCGAGGAGGAGGCCGCCCGCAAGCTGCAGCGACTCATGAAGCGCATGCTCAACAACACACGCACAGGGCAGACCCTCAATGGAAAGTAAGCACAGAAGACGACCGACCGACACACAGGAGCGCTCAGAAATTGACGCTTTTGTGTTGCTGCGGTCAGGATGAAGGGTTCATACGATGGCGCCAAGGCGGCCTTCTGGAATGCGGTTCGCGACCGTGCCTTCTACCTGTCCAAGCAGCGTGCGATGGGCGGCAAGCCGCAGGACCATCTCGAGGACTACTACCAGGTGCCTCGCCTCACACACCAGCGACACACCGACACGTAACATGGACGTGTCAATGTGTCAGGCGCTGCACGAGGCGACCCGGCAGATCCCGCGGAGCAACCCCTTCTGGACAAGGGTGGCCGAGCGAGCATACTAGTCATACCTCAAGGCACGCACACACACTGGACATACACACAGGGGCTGGAGTGCAGAGGAGAGAGTGCGACTGTGTGTGTGTGTTTAGGACCGTTCGAGTTCTGCGGACGCCAACTGGTACGGCGCCATCGAGAGCGAGCTCGCGGGAGACGTGCCGGTGGCCACCAACTGACTTAAGACCACAAACACACGACACGATATATATGGGTGTGGGGAGGGGCCAACACCACTTTCTGTCTGCATGCACTGTTCTCGCTCGCCGTAAGTTAAATTTGGTCTAGCTGTCTAGCCTTGCTGTCTAGCCTAGCTCTCTGCCTGTCTGTGATGCTCTTTGTCTGTGTCTGATCGACCGACCTATCTATCTATCGCTGCTGAATGGAACACAGTTTTGGCCGTCCCCTGCGCCCATATTTTGCCTAGGCCACATTCACAGGAGGGAGGGGGCAAGGCGCAGGGGCACGGCAGTGTGTGTGTGTGTGTGTGTGTTGGGAGTGTGCATACGCTATGCATGGCACCACTGCATGTCTGTGTGTATGTTTTATTAGTCAGGGGGCGGGGCGCATCACATCAAAGCAGGCGTGTGTCGATGGATCGACCTATCTTCAGTCAGTGCCGGGGGCGGTTTTGCTCGCGACCTGAAGCCTCCATCGTCTGTCTGCATGAGAGAGGAGAGACAGGGGCACCGTATGGCTGGCTGAGTTTCGCACTAAGGGACAGAGAGAAGATACATGCATCACACAGAAAGACCGACTAGCTCTCGCCGTCATGCATGCTGTGTGCAGACAGGCCGACAGGCTGGCCTCCGTCCGTCTGTCTGTCTGTCTCTGTCTGTCTCCGGGTGTGTGGGTGTGACGTTCAAACACGTCTCACCGGCAGTCCTCATGATTCATATCAAGGGTCCATCCGGTGTGCCGAGCAGCACTGGACCCCCTCATTCATCTCGCCCTCTCCCAACACCACACAAGACACACACACAACGACTGTCTGTGAGCGTGCCTACAATGCCTCTTGTCCGTTTTCGCGCCCGTGTGCTGCGCGGTGCTCACTCGCACTTGCGGAGCTTTTCTACCGCACCACTCCTCTGACTGAGGCCGTGTAGCGGTTTGAACACGGGTCCCACTTCTGTCACTGAGGTGGGCTGTCAGTCAGTGAGGCTTCCTTCACTGGCAGGGCAGGGCTGCTGTTTTGGCAGCATCCATGTTGGGGGGAGCCCCGCCCGTAGCGGCGGGCCTTCCACCTTCACCAGTACTACCTGTACTGGCCTTCCACCTTACCTGTACTGGCTGGGGCCCTATATTTTTTCTTTTTTTTCCCAACGTGCAGGCAGGAAGGAGGTGGTGACGCATGCTGTGTCGGCGGAGTCACACCCAACGTTGCTGTGGGGCTTCGCACACCCTGCAGCTCACTCACTCGCTCTGCTCCTCTAGGGGGGTCGGTGGGTGGGTCGGACAAGTCAGGCAACACCACGAAGGCAGGCAGACAGGCAGGCACAGGAGGGAGGGAGGGAGGACGTTCAAATGGCGCGAGCTTTTGCCGATTTGCTGCTTGGTCGGTTCATCGATGCGCTGCAGACGGGCGGCAGTCACGTAGCGGCTCATCCGCATGCTTGGCAGCACTGGGCCCCCACACACCCACATGCCATACACAGACAGACAGGCAGACAGACAGACAGGTGGACGGGGGTGGAGGGCGATGTGCATGCTTCCGTGTTTCGCTGTCTTGTCGGGTACTTCGTCTGTGTTGTTGCCCCACGACGGTTTTCCATCCGTCTGTCTTGCACGGGTTGGCATGTTCGCTTGGGAAAGAGAGGGAGGTGAGTCGCCAGACAGAATGTGTGTGTGTAGAGAGAGGGAGCTCGGTGACGGAAGGTCACGTGCAGTGGATCTGTGTGGTCGCTTGTCTCTCTACAGCGCAGCGGCACAGGCGTGGTTCATTGCATCAGCCCAATGCAACGAGCCGTACCTGTGCTTGCGGCGCTTCAGAGAGGGGAGTGATAACATAGCAGCTGGGGGGATGGTATTGGTGTTGATGTCTGGTAGATGTCTGGTAGCCGGGCGACATGGGTTTTTGTTGCTCAGTCTTCCTCGGGTTGGGCGCAGCACGCGCAGGTCGTCAGTCAGGCGTTCCCTCAGCGTCTGGCCGACACCCTGGTCGTGCGCGACACCCTGCCCGAAATGACGAGAGCAACTGAGAGCGGACATGTGTAGACAGGTGGACTTTGCGTGGTCGTATGTATGTGGTGCGCCGCTCGTGTGGGTGAGACTTCTGCTGGATGGATGGGCTCAACACAGAGCGACAAAGCAACGGATCAATATTGTATAGATGCTTCAAGTGTCTGTCTGCAAGTGGAGGAAAACCGGAAGTGTCTGTCGCATTGCACAGTGAGGAAAAAGGGCTCCAAGCATCAGTGGAGCCACAGGTAGGTCGACCCGAGTGACGATTGGCATTGAAGCCGCGCCTGCCGACGGATTCCCACCTGTGCTTGCAGCAGCACCGGTGAAAACCATCAGGAAAGGCCGGTTCAATGTTGCCAACCTCACGTCGACTCGACCGACGGACAAGCAGCCAAAGACAAAAGTCATGCATGATGCACACAATCAACACAATACAGACAGCCTCTCGTGATCGACCTGGCTGGCTGGCAAACACAGCCCCCACAACCACCCGGTCGCCACGACACACAACCATGGACTCAAACAAGGTAGAAATCTAGGAGGAGAGCCAGCCTGTGGCGTCCCGTGGTTGATGCGTCTGTCAGAGCTCCCGGAGAGGTTTCGGCTCCCCATCCTCCTCAATGAAGAGCCGGTGCCTCTCCACAAGCTGCAAGAAACACATCACCAGGCACGCACTGCCAGGCTGGCCAGCGGCGAAAAAGGCGGCGAGTAAGTGTAAGTGTGGCTGTTTGCTGTGTGAATGTGGCCAACAACAAACATGTCATCAAACGTGCCCGCGCCTTCGGGAGCGAGCAAGGAACAATTCAGAGAGTGGTGTCACCCAATCGGCGGACGACGGAAAACTTGTCTGTGTACGCATGCAATGCAATGGGGGAGGGATGTGTGTGTAGGTCGGTATGCAGGCATCACATCCATGTGCGCAGTAGGGACCGACGACCGATCCACAAGAAACTCACAAACGGGGCAAAAAACGCAATCATGCAGGTAGGTACGCAAAGTACGTAACGTGCACATGCATGCATGTTCCCCTTCCTCTCCCCTGCTGAGCACCGCGCACCCTTTCCTGTCCGCCGCCCTTGAAACGCCTGATGCCCTGCCTGTCAGCAGCACGACCCAAGAAAACAATTCCACCCCCCCTCCCTCTCCAGCCAGACAAGGGCCACAAAAAGTGTCCCTTCCCCTTCCCCCCTCTCTCTCTCTCTCTCTCTGCAGTGGTGTGAAAGCAAAGTGCGGTTGCATAGGTACGAGCACGCAGCCATGACAACTTGACAAGACAGCAAAACCGAGGTCGATATGCAGGGAGGGAGGGATATGTGTGGCGGAAAGTGGTGGAAAGTGTTGCTCTTTCGGCGCCGCGCCTATGTTACACAAACAGTACACACACGTGTGTGGCGTGGCGTGGTGTGGCGTTCGTAGACACATACACACACACATACATACATACATACAGACCACGCACACTCAGCACAACTATGTATGCGCCCGACTCCAGCGCATTATATATGTGTCCACTCTCTCTCTCTCTGGTGTGTCGGCCCGTGTCGTGAGCGTGTCTGGGAATGTGACAGGTCAGATCAGTCAGGGCAGCTGAAAAAACGAAGCCTGACCATCCGAACCAACAGCACAAAACCACAAAACGAAACAACCACCACACACACGACACACTGGCATGACACGCACTCATGCATCATCCCTCAGTCGCTCTCTCGCCGGCCGGCCACACAAGAAAGGAAAAGCAAACCAAAACCAAAACACCGACCAGCGACCATGCACCCACCCTTACCCGGCACCCACGTGACAAAACACCCCCGGCACAGCACAGTATGGCTACCCGTCCCTCCCTCCCTCCCTCCCTGCGTATGTATGTATCACCATACGTACACGCAGCCCCCGACCCCCACCCCCTACCCCCTAGTGACTAAACTAGACACGGCCCTCTTTGCTTCACGGCTCTTCTGAGACGCCGCTGGCGGTGGTGGCCTGGCTGGCCATGCTCTGCGAGTGGGGGATGCCCTTGAGCACGTCCGGCTGGCTGTCGAGCATGAAGACCCTCGAGTCGCCCGACGGCAGGGAGGGCTTCGAGTAGATGATCTTGGCAGTCAGCAGCAGGAGCGCACACAGCAACGCACTCGCGTTGGCGATAATCACCTGAAACGCGCACACACGAGACAAGAAGACACGTGAGACACTGTCTGCATGTGTGGGTGGGGTGGGGTGGGGTGGGTGTGCGCACCGGCCATTCGTGTATGAGTATGCCGTAGGTGATGAAGGAGCAGGAGGCCAGGACTTCGAGCACGATCATCAGCAGCGATATACCGTCGGCCTTACGCGAACGGTACGTCAGCCACTGCAGTCAGCAGACAGCAACACAGACGCAGCTGCGGTGGGTGTGTTTCTTGTCTCTCCAGCGCCAGGGTGCATGTGTGCCTCACCACTTGCGGCAGGAAGACGAGGAAGAGCAGGATGCTGCCCACATACCCGAACGCCTCACTGCACACACAACAAACCACCCACACGCAGAGCATACCAATCAGATGCAGCTGCTCTGATCCTTCCTCCTTATACAGGCCTGCCTCTCCTCCCGCGTGTCCCTGCTCACCTGACGGGAGTGTCCACGGCCATGCTGCTGTGTGAGAGGAAGTGACGCTGGCAAGCAGGTGTTCAAAATCGCAGCCGCGGCACAGATGAAGCTCGGCGTAGGCAGCAGCGTTGCTAGCGTCCTCTTCGTTCGCTTTTCCCTTTTCCTCCTCTTTCTGCGAGCTTTGGGCTGCGAGCTAGGCTTGCAGACGGGAGATGTGGACCGGGAAGGCCAGGCCTTCATGGCATAGTTGAGGGCTCAGCTTGTCGAGCTGCAAGCACCAATGGCTTCCTTCGATAATTCGAGGTATTTCCCGAACGAACTGTCGGATGAGCCGACGGGCGGAACGGACCTCCACGGCGATGAATTCAGGTGAGTGGGCAGAGGAAAGCTGCCTGCCTCCGTATTGCCTGCCACTGCTCACTGCTGGCATACATCCTTAAGCTTTGACTGATATGCTGTTTGGTCATCAGGTCATGGTGCGTGGTGAATTCGCAGAGGGTGATGGATAAAATCATGCGGAGGCAGCATGAGAAGCCGTCCATATACACGGGTGGGGTGCACAAACACACAACAGACAAACGGACAAACGGACAAACCATGCATTCCCCTGTGGCTGGTTGGTTTCTGTCACTTTCTCACCTCAGGTGAGTGCGGCAAGGCCTACGTGCTGATGGACATGGCCGACCACGGTGAGCAGCAAACACATGTGTACACACACACAATGCCAGCTTCTCTCTCTCTCTCTCTCTCTCTCTCTCTCTGCATGTCTGTGTTGCAGGTGTGGCACTGTCGAAGGACCCGTCGATATCGAGCCCCGTCAACCTGTACGAGTCGGCCTTCCACATCATCACACGCGAGATGCAGCACTTCCCACCCAACCGGGTGGCGTCGTTCCTCGAGGGCCTTTCGGGCTGCATCGCGATGCAGGCAGGCAAATCTCACCCTCACACACACAGAGCATGGAGCAAGGGAGAAGGTGAAGGTGTGTCAAGCCTCCATGTGATTCGTTGGTGTGTTGTGATACTTGCAGGCCGTGTTGCTGGTGAAGCTGCAGCGGTCACAGGAGGCTCTGTCGTCCCTCACGCGCCTCCTCTCGCTCGCACAGCACGTAAGAGCAACCAGCACCTGGTATGGCTTATGTATTGACAGCCACACTGCTCACACAGGTGTCTTCGATGGCTGAGGACGAGTGCGAGTTCCTGTACGGCCGTGCGGGGTACGTGTATGCCCTCCACTGGACGCAGCGGCAGATCGAGCAGCACGACGAGAGGAATGCCGACATCGACAGCTTCTTCTCTCAGGGCGGCTGGGCCAGGGTCAAGATCGACATACTCAGGCAGGTCAACCGACATACACACGACAGATGTCCAATGAATGGGCAGCAACCATCCTCCTGTGTGGGTGTGTCTGCAGATCCTGATTGAGGGCTTATCTTGTGCGAATCGGCTGGCCGGCAACGGTATCGACCTCGGCGGCCTACCCCTTGCTTACGAGTGGCACGGGAAGTGCTACCTGGGTGCTGCGCACGGCCTGGTAAGAATATACAACTACTAACGATGGCGTGTGTGCGCCGGTGAATGCCCGGAAATTGTGCTCCGCTGTTCCGTTTCCCTCACCTGGTCAGGCAGGCATCCTCCAGGTGCTGCTGCTGTGCCGCAGTGACCTCCCACACATCAACCTGCAGACAAGTGAGGCACCAGTAGGTGAACGCGTGCCACGAAACCACACCAAACGACACGCGCTTTTCTGTGTGTCTGTGCAGGCGGCCATGACGCGTCCGTCACCCCAATGTCGCTGATCTCCCGCTGTCTGAATGTCCTCTCGTCCTCACCTCACATGTTTCCTGGAGGCAATGTGTCGTCGAGCGTGGGATCCACGCATGACAGACTCGTGCAGTGGTGCCACGGGGTGAGCTCACGGGTGTGCGAGGACATCGCATTGGTGCATGATGGGATCGGATGGGGTGTATGGTGGTGTGTGTGTGCAGGCTCCCGGGTTCCTCCCCGTCTATGTGCAGGCCATGGAGGTGTTTCCGAGCGAGCGGGAGCGATTCGCGAGGGTCGCTCTGCAGATGGGGGAGGCGGTCTGGCAGAGGTACACGCATTCGCGCGCGCATCTAAGGTGCCGTGTGTTGTTTGTCGTGCAGGGGTCTGCTGCGGAAAGGGGTTGGCTTGTGTCACGGAATTGCCGGTACTTACACTGACGCTTCACTTGTACGGCACGACGGGGGTGGCTGTGTGCTTGGTGCAGGCAATGCGTTTGCCCTGCTCTCTGCGTACCGAATTGCGCGAGACCCGAAGTGGCTGAGGAGAGCACAACAGGTGCGTAGGTCCATACGCGCATCCAGTTCGAGCCGCCCTGCACTGTTTCTTCCTTGCGTGCAGTTTGCTGCGTACTCGTTGGAGCACTTTGATGACCTGCGGAGGATCCCTGATAGGTGGGTCGGTCGATGAGACGACACACTGTCCCTTATATATGCGGTCGGCATCTCTGTGGCGTGTGTCGCGTGCAGGCCGTACAGTCTGTTCGAGGGCATGGGGGGCCTGGTGTGCCTCCTCACTCAGCTGCGAAGTCCCGACAGGGCGCTCTTCCCCGCATACGAATGAGACGCTAGTCTGTCCGGCTGTAAGACTAGGCTCTAGGCATCATTTCTCGGTTGCTTCTCGTGTGTTCGTCAACCTAGTGAGGGATGAGAGATGGTCTCTCTGTCATTCCGCATGTCTGTCTGTCTGTCTGCCTGGTCTGTGGCTGTGTATGTATTTTTTGCTTGGCTGGCTGCATTCTAGCGAGTGAATGAGTGCATATGGGCGGGCCGTGGGATATCAATCACCTAGGGAGTGAGTGAGTGAGTGAGTGGGTCGAGTCCTGATCACGGATTCGATTAAAGGGAGTGGGTAGTGATTGGGTTGTACGTGTGTGCGTGTGCAATTGTGTGTGAGCTGCCGTACCGCACCTTCAGCAGTAAGCTTTAGACACTGTCAACATGTGCACTCAACCAAAAGCTTGACCGCGAGGAGTACCTGCCATCCTGTCCTGTCCATAATTAGAGTCGTTGAAGAGGCGCAGCCATACGTATATATGACTGATCGATCACGTACACATCATTAACTCTGCTTTGTGAGTGAGTGAGTGAGTGAGTGAGTGAGGGACAGACGCAGACGTACACTCACTCAGATTCATTGATTGCCGTGATGCTGGGTGGCCGCGGTGTGCTGTCGTTGCTTGTGCTTGCCGCCGTCCTCATCCGTGTGTCTCGTGCGGCCTTGCCCTTTGCTGGCCCGGCGAGCCGCGAGGCCATCCGTCAGGAAGTCATCGGCTCGTCGGACTTCCAAGTCTGTGCATAGACGAGACACCACACCTCAATTGTTGTGTGTGTCTGTCGTGTGTGTATGTCAGATCAACATTCATCCGCCGGAGGTCACACACGTGCACACCGCAGCAAATGCATCCATCCACGGGTGTGTGCATCTCTCTCTCTCTCTGTGTGTGTGTGTGTGTGTGTGTGTGTTGTGTTGGTGTGTGTGTTGTGTGTCAGGAGGACACGCAGGATGTGCTCGACTCGCTCGACAAGCTGCTGCGGCTGGAAGAAACAGAACGAAGGGCCGACGTACGCACACACACACACAGAACATCCACCAGAGACACCAACACACTCAGAGACACGGACGGATGGATGGCTGAATGTGTGTGTGTGTGTCAGGAGGAGGATTACGTGAGTGAGAAGCAGCGACTGCTCACAACAGAGAAGCAGCGCGTCCGTGACGTCGTCCACGCCGCTTATGAACCCCTCCTCGCCACCATCCCCAAGCCAATCTCGGTCAGTCGGCCGTCACACATTCATCGCAATCGACACACGACCATCTCATGAATGCGTGTCTGTCTTGCCGTCAGACGCGCATCACTCGAGTCATGTCCAAGTATGTTTTCCCCCAGCCAAAGCGTGGCCGCCTGCCCGCACTGAGATTCAGACAGAAGCAGACCAAGGCGGCACGCAAACACCAACAGCCAGACGGCCCAGTGGAGTCGAGCGTCAGGGAGACAACAGCCCAGATGAATGCTCCGCCCTCACTCTACGGTGAGGCACACAAACATCCATCCATCCATCCATATGTGTGTTGTGTCGTGTGTGCAGGCAACCGACTGACACAGCCTCAGTTTCCACCTGTGCAGCCCGAGAGGTCAGAGGTGCTGATGCTGCCCAACGGTGTGATTGATGGCAAAGGCACGATAAGTGACCCAGCAGAAGACAAACAATAGACAGGCAATGGCCACGCACCGACAGACATACATTGGCTTGAAACGATGAGACAAAACAAAGGAGGCCATCAGTATCATCATTGCTCAAATGGCCATATGCTGCTGGCCTGGAAGTTGGATTATTTACGCCACTTTTCAGCTCGCAAAGTTTTGCCCTAGGGCTGCCGATTTCGTGAAACCGCTCTCTCTTCGCGCAAGCCGCGGAGTCAAAACCTGCGAGGAGGCGCATCGTGAAGCACGGGCTGCTTCAGGAGCCGCACACGCAACAAACCAGCGGTTCGCTTCTTCTGACACTTCTTCTTATCTATTCGCCATGCGGCACGTGTACTCGGCATTGCTCGTGGCAGCCTTGCACGTCTCGTGCATCACGGCGCAGGTGCGCGTGCTGTCGCCGAAGGACCTGGTTGAGGAGATCCGAGCGACTGGCGTGGAGAATGGCGTCATTCCAGGGACGACAGCCACGTTCGGCGCTCCCTTCTACGGCGAGGTGGTGCTGGGCCAGCTGCTGTACAACCACTCGGCCACGAGCCACTGTAAGGACGACTACAGCCTGACTGCACCCGTGGAAATAGGGCGAGATGGAGCCAAGCGGCTGCGCATCTTTCTCGTCGACCGCGGCGAGTGTAAGCATACACACACACGGTTCCATTAGTGTACCAATGTGTCAATGCGTCATCTTATCAAAGGTACCTTCGTGACCAAAGTGAAAGTGGCGGAGGACAAGGACGCCGGTGCTGTCATTGTGGTCGACTCGAAGAACTCGACTCTCACACGTGAGGACATCGAGCACATCATCATGGCGGACGATGGCTGGGGCACCAAGATCAAGATCCCGTCGATTCTCCTTACCCATGCCGACGGCCAGCGGCTGATCGACGCTGTGGTGCATGCCCAGGAGGCCGGGAACAAGGACGAGCAGGCGGTGTTTGCTGAGCTGGAGTGGAACATCCCTCAGAAGGATGTGGTGGCCGTGGACTTCTGGACCGACGCCGCCAACGAGCAGGGCACCCGATTCCTGGTGGACTACTCCAAGGACGCCGAGACCCTCAAGGGCCATCTGCGCTTCTCGCCCCACTACCACATTTTCTCTCTGCCTGTCGACTACAACGACCTGTGCAAGGACAGGAACACCGCCAAGTTCTGTGCCGACGACCCTGACGGCCCCGGGGACATCACAGGTCACGATGTGGTGCTGGAGGACCTCCGGCAGCTGTGTCTGTTCTCCGTGACGGCCGAGGAGAATGTCGACGGCATGAAGGACAGCCGGTACTCCAAGACCTTCTGGGACTACATCGACCGCTTCGCCAAGGAGTGCCCCATCGTCGACAAAGCCGCGGCCAGACCGCCCAAGGGCGTCAGCCCAGACGAGTACCGATTCGGCGAGAAGTGCTCCTTGCGCATCCTGCGGGGGCTGATTCCAAAGAAGATGCACGACTTCGAGACCTGCGTTAACGGGCCGGATGGGCTGAAGCTGCTGGAGGAGGAGAGGGCGAACATGGCGTGGAGCGTGCTGGCACTCAGAATCAACGGATGGAGGTGAGTGGGCGGAAAGGGGAGGAAAGGACGCAGCATGCCGATGTGTCTGTCTGGGTGCTGGTTCTCTGTCTGTCCGTTCGTCAGGTTTAGCGGCACGCTTGAGCGCAACTTGGTGACCAAGGCGGTCTGTTCAGGCTTTATTGAACCACCGGCACCATGCAAAACACTACTCAAGTGAGGACACAGCACGCGCACGGAGAGGGAGGGAGGGAGAGAGAGCATACCAACATGTCCCTCTGATACGATGGGTGCATCCACAGGGAGATGGAGGGCTCTCTGTCCAAGGTGACGGTCAACAAGGGTGTGGGTGCGGGTACCGTGACGCTGATCCTGCTCATGCTGGTGGTCATCGTCGCCATCGCCTTCTACTTCTACCAGTCGTATCTGCGCAAGAGCGTGCGTACGGCTCTGCGTGAGGAGGTGATGCTGGAGGTCAAGACGCAGATGCAGGACTACCACCCCCTCGAAGAGGACGCCATTCCTGAACAGCACCGGGAGTCGAGGCCACTCGTCAGTTAGCTGCCGGTCGTCGCGGTGGCCTGTGTCTGTGTGTCGCTCGTTTTGGCGTGCGGTCTGTTTTTTGGCCACCCAGCTGATGCATCTTTCTCGTGTCGGTCGGTCGGTGTCACTAAGTCACTCGCGGCGTTGTAGGGGGCGGGCTGCACGTCGCGTGTGAGGGCGTTGTGGCTTCCTAAAGCTAGCTGTATTTGTGCGATACACGGGTAGGTAGGTCAGGTACATGTGTGTGTGTATGTGGGCAGAGAGACCAGGAAGGAAGGAGCCTTCTGTCGTTCCAACACGACGCAGAAAGAGTTTATCCATCCCCTTGTGTTCGTTAGACACCCAGCAGCAAGCTCCCTCTTTGGTTTTTGAAGCGGTGTCGGTCGTCATTCCACTGTCTATTATTTTTGCGCTGGTGTGTCTTGAGACAAACGTGGCCGTCAGGTTTTCCACGCCGACGGGCTGTGGGGATGGACGGATGCGTGTGAGGACTTGTTTATTTACTGCATGTGTGTGTATACATACGTTCATTTACTGCATGTGTGTGTATACATACGACAACCAGCGATAGCATCCGTGTCTCTGTATATTTTTGGCCTGTCTGGCTTCCTTCCTTTCTCGTGTATGTGCTGCCTTCCCCCCACCCCCCCCCAGCTCGGCTCAGCCCGAATGGCGCATGCACCAACCCATCATCACTGACGAGTGAGTGTGCGAAGTGTGCTGCCTGCCTCAGGACCCCGCCTTGCCTCCCTGTCGGCAGCAGCGTATTTTGCGTGTGTGTGTGTGCGGATGCGCGTCCGTGTACAGTCAGCCCGCCCCACCCACCCCCTACTAGCTAGCCTTTCCTGTGGTGATGGAATCAGCCTCACTTTTTTCCCCGTCCGCCGCGTGACACCTGTGCGTGAATTCGCGTGTTTTGACCTGTCTGCGTGTGTGTGCCCGTGACCTACTGCATGTATGTGCCCGTCATATCTAATCCATGTTTTCATGCCCCTTGCGAGGTCACGTCAATCAAGCACTAACATTGCAACGAATGCACCAGTCACCCGTCCCCATCAAGTGTGAGGCAGCGCAGCTAATCAACAGCAGCAGCTACATGGTCGGACCGCTCCCTGCTCATCACCGGCCTCAGCTGGTGGATGAGGGCTGGGGCTGCTCCTCTGACACCTGCTGCGTCACCTGGCGACCATCCCCAGAAATTTGCTTTGCCGCTGCCTCCTGGGAGGGCTGAATGTCATCAAGAAAGATTGTCACCGCCGTGAGATTGTCCTGACGACACACACACACACACACACACACGGGTCCAGCCAGGGATCACAGGGAAGAAAGGATGCCTGCTGTGTTCGTACCTCGCTGCCCTTTTGGTATGCCTTCATGACGACCGCCGATGCAGCTTCCTTGGGATTGCCATCGTGCTCAGACACCATATCGATCACGGCCTGATGGACGAACAGACACACACACGACAAAGGCCTCCCTCGCTTCCTGGCCGTATGTCGACCGTCCTGTGTTGTCATTGAGACTTGCCTGGTCCGACAGCACGTCCCAGACGCCGTCGCACGCCATGAAGATGACACGATGCCTGGCGTCTAGGGGCACAGTGCAGATCTCGGGGGTGACAATCACCAGGCCCTCGTCCTTCAACTCCTTGTCGCCAAACGCACGGGACACTGCCCACACACACACATACAGACAGGAGCAAAGTGATGAGGCTGGCGGCATTGTGATGTAGTATGATGCATTGCCGACCTGCGAGGGCTATGGGTTGCTTCTCGGTCGCCCCTCCATACTGGCAGGTGCTCAGCTTGATGCGCTTCACCCGGGCCTGCCATCCATCCATCCATCCATGGACGCACCAAGCAATCGAATGTCCACGCATTCCACAATCACAGACGTGAGCCTTTCTCACCTCGTAGTCCGAGTTTGCGACTCGATAGACTCCACCCGCCTTGAAGATGCGGCCTCTTCAAATAGGCGCCCCACAAGACAACCGACGAATCCAGCCAGCCATTCATGAGCGTGGTGTGAAAACCGTTCCGGCTGTGTGCATGTCATGTACCCGATACATACCCTGCCTTCTCGATGCGCGTACGTTCATCAGGCCTGTTGGGCTTGTGATCCTCCGTCAGACGCTCCGCCACCTGATCATACCATACCAGATCAGACAGAGAAAACGCACGTTTCCTCCACTCGTGTCAATCTGCCTGCCTACGCTATGGCACTGCACACACGTACCATTTTGCCCTCATCGTTTTTCCTGCCCGCCACAGCCCTCGAGTCGCCCACAAACGCCACATAGACCTTGTTTCCCAGCACGAGCGTCAGCACAGCCGTGCAGCCGTCCCTGTTCAGCCGATACTTCTGCAGGAAAGCCACGTCCGTCGAGTGGAAGGCGCGCCGAAAACTCTCATGTATCCTCCTGTCCTGCGAGATCTCGTCACTGTCGCTTGTGGCGGCTGACGGGGCCACTGGGGTGCCGTTTGACGCGTCTGTGTTTGCCGGTGGGGGAGCAGAGGCTGAGTCAGATGGGGCAGGGTGAGAGGGTTTGGAGGGTGTGTCGGTCTTGAGCAGCTCCTTCATGATCCGCAGCGGTAGCTCCTTGGCACAGAATTCCGATGCGAGAGTGCCGCAGTGGCCGTCGAACAAGCAGTACAGTGCACCTGACGGGCAGACAGACCGACCGACCGACCGAAAGGCAAGACAGAGCTGATTGAAGCTGTCACCTTCCGCAGCCACTTACCCGGATTCATCGTCAAGCCGCTGTTGGCCAGTGCTTCCGCCAGCTGGTTATCTTGACAGAAAGTCCTCAGATCCCCGATCAGCACGTGTCTGTCCTCCTGCTTCGGCCGCCTGCCCTGCATGAAGCGTGCATCAGCCGTCAGCCGAACCAAAGGAGGGTCCTGCTGCGCGGCGGACTCTTGAGGAGTTGCGACGAGCTCGTACTGCTGCGTGGCATCGTTGAATCCATACCAGGCATTGGTTTGTGTGCTGAAGTAGAGAGCCGACGGAGTGTGGAAGAGCCATCCTTCCGCCGCCTGCACCCACTCGGATGCGGCGAGGCTCGGATCTACAGTGTTGCTGTCTGCCATCCTGTTTCTTGATCTTTCTTGTTCGCTCGCCGCTTCGCACCTGCGAGCTTGGCGCACAGACCCTTTTTTCCCGATCTGCTTATTCCTTCGGCCCCATCGGGCGGAAAAGGCACTGGAATCAGCATACTCTCTTCTGCTTATCGTCCCTGAGGCTCAAGTATCAAAGCAATGGCTCAAGATCCGTGGCGCACATACCCCCAGCCCTACGGCTCTGCAGTTCCTGCCTCCATGCCACCTCCCGATACTGCAGGCAGATTCTTCGCCTCATCCATGCATCCACACACGCTGGGACACACGCGGGGGCTTTGGTTGTGTTGTGTGGCTTTTGCAGGGACGGACTCAGCTCACGGCAGCACCATGGGCAAGCGCCACTATGGGGTCGGCACGTACACGAGCGGCATGATTCACAAGGGGCTCGAGACGGCAAACACCCGCCAGAATCTCCAGAACTACTTCGGAAAGGGCAAGAGGCAGGTTCCGTATCATCTGGCCGCGGGGCAGGTGGACACGACGAGAGTGCTGCCCGTGGAGCGCCCCAAGGGCCATGAGCAGCCCTTCCTCGGCAGCCAGAATGTGCAGTGGACGCTCACAACACCCGACAATACGTGCACCAGGCAGAAGACCATCGCTAAGTTTGACGAGCGCAAGTACGAGCAGGCCACCAAGAAGCATCCACGATGCCCCTACCCTCCCTACAACGTGAGCTATCCCTGCATTGCAAGAAAGCCACTTCTTCCCCTTTTCCTCCCATCAGGTGGTCCCTGCTGGCGCCGATTTCACGACGACTGCTCACAAGCTGCATGCCAGCATCGCCCCCAAGGCCAACTGGGCATTGAGTGCAACCGGCGAGCCGCGAGAGGTGCGGCCTCCCTTGGACCCCGTCGCACAGGGGGAGGAGACCCGCGTGACGTTCAAGGACGACAAGTGCAGCAATAGCCCCCACGGCAACGAGAAGGCCATGGGCATGACAGGCTACATGGACCCCGCCACGATGAAGCGACAGCGCGGGCCAGAAATGGAGAACACTAACACCATGTCCGGCTACCCTTCTGTCCCTGCTGGCATGTACGGCTACCGTGATCAGGTCCTCCGCATGCAGGACACTCGGGTATGTAACCGACGGGCGGCAGGTTCTTCTCTTCCCTGCGTGTCGATTGATCGATTCTTGCGTGAATCAGGTTGGCGACACGATGCGCCGCCCCAGCGGCTGTCCGCCCCAGCTGGAGTTCAAGGACACCAAGCAGGACCTCGGCACCATGGAGCAGCTCGGCTACACGCTCCCGCCAGACACACAGATGCACTACCACCAGCACGCCCCTCGTTACGACCAGACGCCCCAGCGGCCTGGCTATGGCACTGGCGGCCGCGGCTTCCCGGCAGGCATGTACGGATTTCGCGAGAAGATCTACACCGCCCAAGACACAAATGTGCGTGAGTGATACAGGGCATGGAAACGGGGAGACATACCATACACGGATTTCCCTTCCTTGTGTCGTGTCAGGTTGGCAATTGTATGTACCATCGCGGCCCTTCGGAGCCTCTCGATCACCACCAGCACCACCATGAGCATCATCACCATCAGCAGAACCATCAGCAACAGCCGTATGTCCACCCTGTCCAGGAGACCCACCATGAGCACCACCACGAGCACCAGCACCAGCACCAGCATCTCCATCCCCAGGAGACCGCCGTCATGCAGACCATCCATGAGCATCAAGAGGCCCCGCCTGCCGTCGAGACGGCCACAGGCACAGGGGGTGGCTACGCCTCCATCGGCCAGGCCAACAACATCAAGACCAACCAGCTGCCTCCCCGCCCCCAGACAGCCATCGGCACCGAGTACAAGCACCATCCCGGCATGGCCCCCGCGGGCATCGCGATTCACTCCGGCCACACGAAGGACTTCATCGCGCCGTCGGCCCACGTGATCAAGGGCTTCAACCGCTTCAACACCAGAGACAGCATGATGGGCTACTTTGGCCGCGGCAAACGGGGCGGCGACCCGATGGAGTGCTACATGCCGGAGGTGGTGCACATCCCCGACTACCCGCCCGGAGAATGGAAGCCCGTGGAAGCACCCAGCAAGGAAAACGCATACCGATTCAGGGCAAGGCAGAGACACAAAGATGCAGGCGAAGAGACACCTGCGAATGATGTGTTCCTTTTGTCTCACTCTCAGCCTGCCGGCATCGTTGCTCGTCGCGACAACATCGATGAGTGCATCCGCCCTACCGTCGGCCTTCATGCAGGTCAGCCAGCCCCCTGTGCTCTCCTTGGTGTCTTACGTGCATGTCTCATGATTGAATCCATTGCAGGCAGCATCACCCAGACGTCTCCCTATGCGTATGCGTCCATCCACGGCGACCCGTCTTGGGGCCAGAACAAGCAGAGCGGCAAGGCACGGACCACTGGGTACGGCGGCTGTGCGGGCCTTGCAAGCATGCCCATGCCTCCTGAGGCCGCACAGGGACGACCCCCTCAGGACGACTGAAGAGGCATACGCAGACAGGAAGCAGACGTAGTATAGATGATTACAGTAGTGGGTTTTGTACCCGTGTTGTGTCGCGCATGCTGGCTGCCGAAATGAGGCGCTGGCTCGGTTATTACTCGTCAACAGAGTAGATAGCACACACAGACCTGCTGGCAAAGACCGGCGAGTAGTTTTGGTGCAGTGGGAAGGAGAGACAGCAACTTCACTATCGGACGGACTGACAGGAACGCATTCATCATCATTAAACCGATTCAATAGAGATGTCTGTCTGTTCCTGTGCCATGTGCCAGCGTCTGGCCGGCACTGTGCTGATTGACGGATGGTCCCATACACAGACAAATACCCACAAATCACATACCAAACACGCCAAGACGTCCCAATCCCGACCCATCAATCACAATCACCTCACGAAGAAAGAACTACAAACTCGCTGCACTCATCCCGCTATGCCTGCACGCCTCCCAGCCAGTGGCAACTGAACCTGCCGCTGTCACTTTTCGCTCTGCCCTCCCTATCAGCCGCACCACTGCCTCGGGTGTTTTCAGCCGACAAGTCATTCGCGAGCAAAAGTCGTACAGCACAAGGGCCAAGCTGCCACTGGCGACGTCTCCACCTCCCTCCCCAATGGTAGGCTAGTTGTCTTTCTCTCCCTCCCCCTTGCCAGCTTGCTGTTCAGCATCAGTTTCCTCGGTCACGGGCTCCCCGAAGCGGCGCTGCAGGAAGCGACGGAGCTCCATCGGATCGTAGAACTGATACACACACACACACACAGACGGGGAGGATATTGCAAGTGTGTGTAGGTGGATGGGTGTGGTGCGATCCTTGGCTCACCCATGGTCCGATGCCGCCCTGGTAGGTGATGATGCCCTGCTCGACCACGTAGAGGCGCAGTGGCGACGCCTCGTAGGCACGCACCACCTCATTAGATATCTCGTCAACTGACCAACCAACCAGGCATACACATGGGCACACAGAAAAGACATGCACATCATCCGCGGCCTCACCTGCCGTGGCCGAGTCGCCCACAGCGTTCCACAGCTCCTCTGAGTCGAGAGGCACCTCGCCGTCGTGCTGGCAATCTGCACTGCCGCCCCCAGCCACCGATGCCTTGTTGGTCACCTGGCCGGCCATCTCAGGATGCACTCGGTACCGGTCAGTGAAGATGCGGGCGAGCTTGAGGCGGTCGCACATCGCCGTGGGCTGGCTGAAGTGGATGTTGTCGCGGTAGTTCTCGGCAGACGGCCACCCTGGCTCGGGGAAGACCTCCCTCACGTAGATGAAGACATAACGAACCCGCCCACAGAACTCCTGGGTCACGATCTCCATGACCTGAATGGACACAACATGACAAACACATGTGCATGTGTGTCAGCGACGTGTGTGTGGCTGAGCACCGGTCCCCAGGCTCGGCTTGGTGGTCAGGTGACACTTCCGAAGTTGAGGACCACGGGCATGGCCGTATCAAAGAAGGCCGACAGGTTGGTCAGGCGGCCATCCTGCAGCCGCACAGGGCCGTCGGGCGCCGGCAGCCCCACCTGAATCTTGGACATGAAGCCATCCTCCAGCTGCGGAAAGACCGCATGCAAAATCTCCTGAGTCACCTGCCGAGTACACACACGCAGAAACGCACACAAAGCAATGATCACAGAGGTGCCTTGCGGTCGCCTCCTTGTCATCCCGTCCTTACTCCTTCTGTTTGGCCCATCTCCTGGGCTTTTTCGAGTGCTATGACATCTCGCTCCGGCAGATTCTTGGCATTGAGGCGGTGAACCGCCACCGGGGAGTCGCTCTCAGACGACATTGCCCCACCTTTCTCGAGCGCCTGCGAGCTCAGCTGCAAACTCAGAGCGCAGAGCGATTTGGTGCTGCCCCGATCCTTCCGCTCTGAGTCATCCCCCTATGTGCTGGCGCGATTCAGCCAGGGAAATCATCCATCCGCTACATCTGAGCAGCTCCGCAGTTCAGTAGCCAGAGTGCCATCCAAGGACCGTTGACCGCATCACACAGGTAGAGCGGAACGGAGAAGGAAGGCCATCGCCAGAAACTGACGATTGATTCATGGAATTCCCTGCGCAGATGTGTGTGACGTGGCTTCGGAGCTGGAAATATCATGGCCGTGGAGTAAGTGGCCGTGGAGCAAGAGCATGACGACGGAGGTGAGCCTTTCCGGCAGTGCTGTGGACAGATTATCCATCTGCAGCTCTCGTTTGTTGCTCTTCTCCTCAGGATTCGCCTGTTGTCACTCTCACGGCCATACGCGCCCGTGTAGCTGCCCTTCAGGAACAGCTGGAGGAGCTCCATCGCAAGGTGGCCACAAGCAATGAGTGCACTGTGCATTAGAGGCTCTTCAATTTCTGCGCTTGTGTTGAGCTCGTCAGGTGAAGCGTGTGCTTGCGCTGAAGAGTGTGATCGAACACTCGTTCCAGACGGACGGCAGCCGCCTACAGGTGAGAGAGCCGCACCAAATGAGGCACACAGACAAGATGAACACTTACACATCGATTCTTGGCTCTGCTGTCAGGATGTCCGCGCCCATTATGCGGGCCTTAGCGAGGCACTCACGAAGATTGCAAATGGCGACAGACGCGAGAGCGAGGTTCTTTCTCTCGTCCGTCAAGCGTTCACCCAATGCGACGCGATATCTGCCATCTCATGGGCACCGGTATACAGACTCGCAAGACACTGCGCGGGGCAGCTTCATCCTGACACTTTTTGTCTCTCTGTCTGTCTGTCTGTCTGTCTGTCTGTCTGTGTATGCAGGACTTCTTCGTCTGCCCTCTCCTGACCCTCCCCGAGCCGTGCATCACCAGCTACATTGGTCCCTTCCTCGGCACACAGTCCATCGTCGGCAGCCTCTCCCGCACCCACACATCCCTCCACGCCCTCTCCCACAACCCCGCCATACACACCAACATGCACCTGCAGACGGACGAGTACCCCGGAATCGTGATTACCAAGCAGCAGATCGCGGCGTGGGGCACGGCATTGAGCAAGGTCACGCGGGCCACCGTCCTGTGTTGGCCGACTAGTGCGGTGTTGGAGCTGCTGGAGCGCGCGAGCAACGTTCTGGAAGAGCTCTACGCCTCGGAGCCCTGGGAAACTCCTAGTCACCTCGCCGCGCCACTCGCTGACAGGGGACTGAGAGAAGACAGAATCGTCTTCCCGAAGCTCATCCGGGCTGAGGTGGCCGGCGAGTGGATTACTGTTGCCCACAGACGCAACTGGGAACCAACGTAAGAATCGAGGACAGCATGGACGCACACTCCGACCCCACGTTTCTGTCTTGTTCCTTCCATCACTGGCCTTCAGGGCTCCGAAGGACCTCAGTGTTCGCCGCGTGGAGTCATGGTCGCATGTGGTCGGCACAGGAGCGTGGTTGGCAGGGCCAGGGCCGCACAGTTTGACCTTGAAGGCGCGCTTTGCACACGGGGTGGAGTTCGACATGGTGCGCAACCTCTTGTGGACACGTTTTAGGTGAGGGGAAGGAAGAATGTATGTGTACTTATCTGTGCCTCTATGCATTCAGGAGACTGGTGGGGGTAGGTGTGGATTTGAAATTGCATCGACGTGAGGCGATCAGGAACCCGCCACTGACAGCCGACATGACACTCGCTGGGGTGCCTTACGGAGATCCCAGATCGGCCGATATTCGTCGTCTTTCCGCGTATGCAAAGACCCCCTTCCAGCAGAGGACAGGAGAGGCCATGCAGCTGGAGGAGCTTGGCGTCGTGGTTAACGAGATCCATGATACAATGCTTGCCGTAAGCGCGAAACAACGCCAGCACTCTCATAGTCCAAAGACACCAGCACTCTCAAAATGTGCCTTCTGCTGCTGCTGCTGCTGCTGTGTGTCAGGCCGTGCAGGTGCTCCGGTCCAGGCAGTTGGCGCCTCGTGGGAAGGTCACCTTCGACGTCATGCCAAGCGTCGAATTCCACACCATGGACATCCTACGTTACCTGGAGGCCGACCCGTCCAGTGCTGACACCCTCACTGAGCTCGCCCTTTGCGTCAAGTCTGTCGCCCTTCCTTCAGGGCTGGCACAAGGCCAGACCGTCTCATCTGCTGCGCCCTATTGCCTGCCCCAGCTGGTGTTCTCGCGTGCCACCCAGCTAGAGCTGCAGGGGTGCGGGGCTGCCTCTGAGCCACTACCCGCCTATTTTCTAGAGCACATATGTGATCGCCACTTCCCTCGCATCACCACACTCGACCTGGGAAAGGTAGAGGGGGCCAGAGAGGAGGCAGCCAGGAAGGCCGTAGACCTGCCGTCGCTCAGAGAGGTGCGTTTTGAGACGAATCGATCGCCGCTGTGCCTGAGAGGGTGCCAGAAGGGGCTCCCTCTTGTCCATGTCAAGGGCTCCTACCGTGCGAGTGGTGCTGGTGTGTGGTCGCTGTGGGAGGGCGGGGATGAGGGCGCTGAGGACGGGCATCAGCGAGGCCTAGAGAAGCGCATACGCAAGATCACTATCACTGTCAGACATCCTGAGGAAGAGCCAGAGGGGGCGCTGCCAGGTGTAGCTCAGGCTATCTTGCCGGTCTGCCTGCGGGCGATCGACAGGTGCCCCTTCCTCGACTGCATCACTATCTCTCACCCTCATCGCCAGTTAAGCCCACTCGTCCCTGAGTCAGCCAGGAAGGAGCTACAGTCACGCGGCTTTGTGGCAGTGAGGACACTCAATATCTGGATGCTGTGTCGCGTGCGTGACTGTGTCGCGCACGGGACACAGCGGACAACAGAGGTGTCTGTGTGTGCCGTGTTGATGCCTCGCATGGCATTGGACGACAGTGTGTCTCTGAAGGAGGAAGGGCTGCTGCAAGTGCATCCACTTGCGGCCCGGTACCTCGAGCCAGAGATGCGAGAGGAGTTGACAGAATTTGTAAGCGACATATACCGGAATAGATGGAATAGACGAAGATGGTGGCGCAATTTAAGGGACGGGCTGGTGGGGGTGGATGGATTGAGGGATGCAGGTTTGGCTGGCCAGTGAGACAGACGTCCATGTGTGTATGCATGACATTAATGTCATGAGACACTGCTTTTGTACAGACAGAAATAGTAAAGACGACTTTCTGCAATGATGTTCACTGCCCGGCTGCCCCAGCATTTCACAATCAGCCAATACACACATCCGGGTTGCACGAGTTCTCCCCTTTTCTCTCACTTCAGCCGTCGGACGAACACGCACCTGACACTATCAGTTAAACACCTACATACCTGCCTCGAGTCAGTCCACCTTATGTTCAGTGAGCAGGTGTCCACAACAAACATCCCGTGAGCTGTTTTTTTCCCGCTGTGTTCCATGAGGTGATTGTGTATAGAAGAAGCTGTTGTTCACCATCCATCCATCCATCCATCCATCCGTGTGGCCGTGTCTGTGTCCCTCCACCACATTGTCTCCGTCTGCCTGTCTGTCTGTCTGTCTGGACGTGGGATCGTATCGGCCGCACCTAGGGCAGACAGTGGACATGCTCACATCGAGTGGCTGGCGGCCACTCAGTCAGACGTTAAGACAAGCCAAATATCTCACGAGACACGCAAATATAAAACGTAGGCGGCGATTGATCAACGACGACCTGCACACAAAACAGCCACTCAGGGGCTTTCAACCAACACATCCACAAACACACAAGTGAGCCAATTAGGCAGCCCTTCTCCATCCATCCATATCCATCCACCACGGCTACACGAACCAGTCCGTTCATCCCCCATCCCTCCCTCCCTCCATCCCTCTGTCCCGCCCTCCCTCGTTTCCATATCTGCACTCCTCGTCTCTTGTAGCTATCGGCCCACTAGCTCTACGCACGCCATCTACTCCTTCTTTCTGTAGTAAGGCTTGTTGTGTCTCAGGGGCGCCGGAGGCCCCGGGGCTCGTTGCGCGTTGGAGGGCCGTTGGAGGATCCTGACGGGCCTCGTCTGTCCTGGCACCAGATGGGTGGCCCCGCTTGGCGGCGACGCAGAGAAGGGGTGCGGCCTCTCCACCCCCGGACCTGCACACACAAAGATGGACAGTCAGTCCTTTCATTCCTGTACTTGTCATCGTCTTTGTCCTTCCTTGAGTCTACCTGCTGGTCCCGCCGTGCCCCGAGAGCTGCTCGCCCCCATCTGAGTCGACGCCAGGCCACCGTTGGGGTGGACACCTAGGCACACGACAGAATAGCGAGATAGATGAGATGCTCTCATGCACCTCTCCGTCACTGTGTACACCTTCTCTGGTGCATACATACCTGCAGTATCTTGTGCCGTGCTGGGTATCTTCTTCTTGGGTTCGGTCGGCGGCAAAAATATCGGCGGGCGGCCGCTGCTGCTGCTGCTGCTGCCGCTAAACTCCTCTCGACTACCCTGACAGACCGACAGCCCACACACAGACACATCGATGATGGACAGACAGATGACTTGCAGCAAGGTACTGTGCGCACGCCTGTGTCCTTTGCTCGCCTGTGGTGCTGCCCTCTGATCCCCCCGGCCCCCATGCCCGTACCCGCCCCCATAGCCGTGCCCACTCCTAGACACCACAGCCCCATACTGGTGGCCGTGGCTGCGCCCACCCTGCCCGGCCTGGTGGACGACCCCTCCGGCAGCTGGTGCAGCAGCAGCGCTGCTCTGGGCGAAGGATAGGTGGTGGCTGTCCGGTGGCGAGGCTGAGGGAGCGGCCAAATTGGGGGCGGCGCTGCGGCTGTTGAGCGACGCTGAAGGCGGCGGCTGCTGCGACAAGCTTGCGGCTGAAAACCAAACCACTCAGGTCAACCAATGGCACAATAAGTAGGCTTTTCCTTTCGTCCTCACCATTTCGGCTATCATTGGCTATGGCGGTCGATCGCTTCTGGAGTACGTCACGAATGGCCTTCTTCTTGTTGCCAATGTCGTTCTTCTTTCGCCGAATGGCGTCCTGCAGTTGACGACGCTCGGCATCCATGCGATTGATCTCGGTCTTGTCGCGCCCAATGCCCTAAGAGAAGAAAGCAGAGCAGTATGTTGACAAGCCGGGGTGAGCATTTCTTTCGCCGAATGGCGTCCTGCAGTTGACGACGCTCGGCATCCATGCGATTGATCTCGGTCTTATCGCGCCCAATGCCCTAAGAGAAGAAAGCAGAGCAGTATGTTGACAAGCCGGGGTGAGCATATGTGTGTGTGTGTGTGTGTGTCTGTGTGTGTGTATCGATCGGTTGACCTCCGAAGTCTGTGCGCTGTCGGGCAACGGGAGGTCGTACAGGGCATGAGACACCAGAATATAAAATGTAGGCGGCGATCGGCAGCAGCCTGTGTGTACAAGAGACACAACAACGTAATTTCCTGACTAAGTGAGTGGTGAGTCTATACGTCTCACCTCTGTCGCCCTGCCTCTCCAGCAACGCTGTGGCACGCCCTCGCCCGCCATCGTCACCGTTACCACACAATGCAACGCCATGCAATGCACACGGACGCAACTAGAAAGTCCGCCTATTAAAAACCCCAATCCAATCGGACACACACACGATGCAGGAAAGTCCACCCACCGCTCGACAAATCGGCACGTTAGATAGCCAGAAAAACCAGACGTTATAGAAAGGGTGTAGGTGTGGGTGTGGGTGTGGGTGTGGGTGTGTGTTTGCGTTGCAAAAGAACACACACACACATCCAACAGACACAGTCCGTCATGTGCGACGTGTAATGCTTATGCATGTGTGGCACGGCGGTTACTTACTGAGGTGAAACTACTCTATCCCTTAGTTTCCCCTCCTTGTTGGCCCCCCATTTATATCATTCTCTTGTGCCCCCTGTCTGTCTGCCTCTTGTGCCCCCTGTCTGTCTGCCTCTTGTGCCCACGCCACACGCCCATACTGCTCGTGTCGGTGCTCCCCCCAGCCACGCCACGCCACTTAGACAACACCCACAGCCCATGTCAAGAAATCATCCACCCAAACAAACGAAACGATACACTTGCGATCGAAGACGAGACCAAACGAACGACAGGCAGACAGAGGAGATCAGATCAGGCAGACAGGCAGACGGACAGGTCGGCCAGTCCGGGTGGTGCAGGTGTGCGCATTTGCACCCACACCACCCGCCCGTCGCATTACGGGAGCATCCAGGTAGGAAGATAGAGGCAGACAGGCAGGCACACTGACCAGCCATTGAGTTCCCCGTTACAAAACATTAGAGTTCCCCGGAAAAGAAAAACACCCGTGTGTGGCATGCATTGGGTGGAAACATGTTGGCTGGGCTGGGCTGGGGGCATACTGATTGATGTGTGTGGCTGGAGGCATGTTAGTGTGTGTTGGGGCATTCATCTGGGCTGTTGTCTCCTTGACTTTCGACTCCACCGGGCCGTCGGGTTGTTGGTGTTCGGGTGTGGCGCTGGTTTGCCATCACCCACACGTCCGTCTTCCACACGCTCGTCAGATCGCACGACAGGTGCGGGCATCTCGCGGTTGGGGCCACGCCTTGGTCGTGACGGGAGGATTCCCTGCATACACACATATCCGACATGACAACAACACATAGAGGGCCGTACGTGCGTCGTGTCACTCGTTCCATTCTCTGTCCCCATCCCTGCTATCCCCTGCTTACCGCATCATTCTCATGTCCATGCCAACATCGAGCTCCACACGTAGCGTCAGCAGCGCCCTGGTCTTGCCAAAGCAGGCCTCGTCCACGCGAAAGACGGCCCGCCAGCCGTCCCCCTCCTTGAACAACTCGAACTCCGACACTATGGCCACCACCGTCTCGAACGGGCCGCTCGAAGCGCTTCGGGTAGACCACAGAGATGTTGATCAGGCTCTTGGTCAGATCCGTCAGCGCCACCACCTCGGTCTCGCTGTCGAGGCGGCTCGCTCCACCTGAGAGGATGTTTAAAGCTTCAGATGCCAGGGTTGGAAAAAGGCATTCGGACACATTGGGAAGGGGGGAGAAGGGATCGGGCGCACCACAATTCATGAAGGGTCCCGGAGGAGGGAGGCTCAAGCTGAAGTCAGCTTCTCCGGGTCAGGGGCGGTCATGGCGAGCAGCGGGGCTGCGCGGGCCTCGGGCGGATGGCGCCCGACCGCTTTTGCCGAAGGATGAAAAGAAACGAACGAGATATGAGTGAGAAATGAGTAGAGGCGGTACGGAAACTGTTTGTTTTCCTTCTGAAAAATCCGTCTCGACGAGACGGCTAGGATGTCGCATCCTCGCGCGATTCTCGCCGTCAGCTAAGCTCGCATACGGAGCTGTGGGAAACATCAGTCGCGGCGACCCTCGCTATCTGCTGACGACCGAGGCTATTACAGAGGATCAAGGCATCGCTTTCGACTTCCTCTGCGACCGGGGCAATCTGAATTCTGCCGTGAGCGGCTTCACCCATCCGCTCGCCCGCCGCTTTCCCAGTTCGCAGCCCCTGTGGCGCCGTGTCCTGCGGCGATTCAGCAGGGGGAGGTGATAGCGTGAGTGCTGGTGGATCGATCGGTGTGGTGTTGCTGCATGTTGACGGGCAGTGCATGTGAGTAGCTGGCTCATCCATGTGTGGTGGAGCCGGCCCGACTTCGGTAACCTACATGGACCAGGGTATGTGAATGCCGCGTGGATGGAGAGCGCATACACATCCGGTTGACGAATGATTGCATCCATGTCTCAAAGGGAGCAGGCCGCAACACATTCAATCAGCATTGCCACAAAAACGCCACTCACTCGTGAGGCCCCTTCTTTGCCTGACACAGTTGTGCCAGCCGACTCACTCGCCTCGCCCGCTCATCTCTATCCCCATCGACAGCCCCATCCCCACCCTCCAGCTTCCGCTGCTTCCTCGACGCCCGTCCTGCGCCGCCCTCCTCGATATCATCGTCTTGTGGCTGGTCTGACGGGCCCTTGGAGCCCACAATCATGACATCGTCATCGTCGTCAGCGTCATTCTCTCCCGTCTGTCGACCACCAGTGCCATCGTCCTCCTGCCCTTCGTCACTCTCGCGCTTCACGCCCCGCCGCCTGGCCGACACGGGCGGCAGCAGCGGTACCTCTCGCGGTCCCATTGACGCGCCTCCCTCGTCGCCATCATCCTCTCTCCCCGTGTGTGTCCGCGCGTGCCGCTGCCGCTCGCGCGCCACGTCGAGTGCGTTGGCATACGCCATGCGCTTGGCGAGATCTTCGAGGGCCGCCTGCCAGTCTGATGGGGGGCTGGTGCTGCCGGCCGATGCTGCAGCTGCTGCAGCGGTGGATGGGTGGGGAGGGTGGTGGGAGCCAGGGGCGTTGCGAGTCGCCTGAATGCACGACAGTGAGTGTCAGGATGATGGTCGGCTTGTGCACTGATGGTGTACCAGGGCCCTGCAGAGAGCTTCTACGCCATCCTCTGCCCTTCTGGTGCTGATGCCGATGTCTGCGGCCTTCTCGTATAGTCTCCTCAGCCGTCCAGCGGTGAGGGCGACCACCGGTGGCACCGCTTCGAACGACGTGAGGGACCTGACCAACATCAAAGAGACACGATCTGTGTTAGTGTGCGTCGTCATGGCTGCCTGCCTGGGTGCCGTGTTGTGTTGTGTTGTGTTGTGTTGCAACCTTGTGAATGGCTGCATTGGCGGCAGGGGTGCCTCGCCAGATGTGCGACGCCAAGCGAACACGGCAACCAGAGGAGAATCTGCGCATGAGCAGGATGACACAGTGACACAGGAAGAACAGGTAGACCATTTCGACGCTCCACCCCCCACCCATCCGCTCACCTAGGTTTGGAAGGTGTCTGAGTGTTTGTCGTGTGGGTATGTCCCATATCCGCAGCCCATCGCCGGCGCACGACACCAGCCGACTCCCGTCGACATTCACACTCACGCCGGCCACCGGACCCCTATAGCCAAGCAACCAACACGTACACTCAGAGATATCGCTTGCCGCATCCATTGCATTCACCATCCCCACTTACTGGTGTCCGATAAAGCTCCGCTGCCACTCCCCCTTGCCGCTCTCGACGGTCAACAGACCGCTGCCAGGTTTCCGGCGGTCCAGTGGGCCGCCAGCCTGCCTCATTCTAGACGCCGATAGGGCATAGACTTCACCGTTGGCCGCGCCGCAAAATACATCATCGTTGGCCGGACTCTGCAAGCAAGGGACCAGGGAAAAAGTCGCTGAGCGATAGCTGGCTGGTGTAGCGGTGTGCTGACCACGGCGAGGGCATTGACGACAGCTGGGAAGAGGATGGCTGCTATGGAGCTCTCTGAGCCCATCGCTTCGACACGACCGCCTCGCATGTCGCCACCTAATCGCCACAACTGACACACACGCGGACGGAATGTGTTTTCCTGTCGACATGGCGATCTTGCTTCCTGTTCACCCTGACGGTCCTGTCAGCCGATGCAGATGCGACAAAGCCCTCCAGGCCACCACCAGACACAGACACCTGAATAAGCCAGCCCATCGCACGCTCATCGGTACGCTTCGAAACCGTAGCAGCTCTTTCCTGGTCTGCTCACTGACGGCAGTGACGGCCTGTGTGTGACTCGTCCATAGCTTGTGCTGTGTCGCGGGATCATAGCCCTCGCCCAACGACGCGCCAGCGGCCCGTGTACCCCCGGACGGCTGGAACAACCTGCACGCAGCGACACAAGGCATGTGTGCATCTGCTGTCGCGCATGGGAGCGCGTGTGCGTACTCAGGGAGCAGGTACACGTGCAGATGGCCGTCACTCGCGGCAGTGATCAGGGCAGCGTCGTCACTCGTCAGCCCAGTAAATGTGACGGCGCCCCCATGGCCCCGCCATGCCCGCAACAGACATCCACTGGCCACCTGACACACGCGCACACGTAACATTTCTCCTTGCCGACATCACTCCCTGACATCCTGTGTACCTGCCAGACGTACATCATGCCCGACTGCGCCCCTGCGAAGCACAGGTGTGCGTCGGCCGAGAACGTGAGGGCCGTCATGACCTCCGGCAAGCTGATCCGATAGCATGGGGTGTCCCGGGAGAACTGCCACACGTGCAGCAGGGCTTTGCCGGCCTGCGCAGCGGCGAAGTAGCAAGAACTCTGGCCCACGCGGCTGACACAGCTGCCACGATTGATGGAATCCTGATGCCAAACCACAGATGCAATGGATGGATGGATGAGTGTATTGAAGCAGAGCTTGTGGTTTTGCCCACCTTGAAGTTTCCGAGGATGGCCCCCGAGTGAATGTCGATTCGGAGAAAGCCGTTGCGGTCCGTGGCCGCCCAGATCTCCTCCATCGCCTCAGATCAGCGCCTCCAAACAGACCAACTCATCAAAGGCAGGTGAATGACTCGGGATGCGGTAGGGAGGCTCTGGATGGTCTCCCCAAGGACAGACCGGGGGAGGAACAGAGGGAAAGACGCCGCCATCCTCAATTTCAGGCTCGCAAATCGATTTGCGAGCTTTTTGAAACGTGTGGCCAGAGAATAGAGCTCGAGGGCTGTCTTGGTTGTGGCTGGATCTGTTGGTCATCAGCGTATTAAGAAGATGGCGATGAGCGTGCAGGAGTTCGCGAACATCGTGACGGACAAGGAGAAGCTGCTGGCGTGGTTCGAGCGGAACAAGAGCAGCGTCAAGGCCTGGGGAGCCTTCATAGCGGTGGTGTTTGTGCTGTTCTTCCTCTTCTCGGACGGCGACTTCTCGTTCCTCATGACGCTGTCGTCGCTCATCGGCATGTTCTCCTTCCTCATGGTCGTCTACAAGATAGAGATCAGCAAGTCATGCGCCGGCGTGTCACTCAAGATGATTGAATGCTACCTCGTACTCATATTCGCCAGACTCTGCAGCATCATACCGTTCGAAGGGTCAGACAACACACGCCCGGCAACCATGATGCGCATCACGCACGCACGAGCGTGTGTGTTTTGGTGTGTGTTTGTGTGTATGTCACTCACCCACACCAGGTATCTGCCGTACGACAGGAGCGGCGACTGGCTGTACCAGACGGTGGAGGGCATCTCGTTTTGCCTGGCGGGTTCGATAGTGTACCTGTGTCGGTACCGCTACAAGGACACGTACGACCCATCCGCAGACACACTCAACCACCTCTTCCTCATCATTCCCTCCGCCGCACTCGCACTCCTCTTCCATCCATCACTCAACGCATTCATGCCCGCTGATGTAAGCAAGACGGCCAGCCAGCCAGTCAGACAGCCATGACGGATGGGATGGATGGATAGACGAAGATCGGTGGTTTGGTTGGCTATGTGTGTTGATAGGTGTCATGGACATTTGCGCTGTATCTCGAGTCGGTGTGCGTCCTGCCGCAGCTCTTCATGTTCCAAAAAGAGGTGGGGACCCACCCCAGCCACCTCTACATACGACACGACACACACACTTGTGTGGATGGCATGGGTGTGGCTGTTCAGGGCAAGGTTGAGCCCTTCACGACCCACTTCCTCGCGGGACAGGCGCTGTCAAAGGTGCGCCACCCAGACAAGACGCAGCCACCATGCACGTCTGGATGCATGTGTGTCCGTCCGTATGTGTGTTGCCATGCCCATCAGGTGCTGTCGTTCATTTTCTGGATATCATCCTACTCAGAGCTCAACGACCCCACCAAGACGGTCGGTACTGCACTGCGCCCACAGACAGATCGTTCATCGTGTGTATGCGCTGACTGTGCTGTGCTGTGCTGTGCTGTGCCTGTGTATTCCTCCGCAGCTCAAGTCATTCGTGGGCGTCTGGGTCATCGTCATGCAAGTAAGGAAGGAAGCAGAGAGAGGGAGGAGGCGGTCACAAGCGAGCTGATCACGCATATCGATGGCGTGGCGTGTTTCCCGTGCTGCAGATTGTCCAGCTGATAGTGATGGGCGACTTCATCTACCACTACATAAGATGGTACGTCAATACAGAAGATACACACGCACACATTCCCATCGTCCGTCTATCTACACACATGTCCTGGTCTTCTTTTTCCCCCTCCTCAGTTTGAGCAAGGGCGTGCCGGTGCAGTTCATCCTCACAGAAGACGTGTGAGCTCCCCTCCCCACACACCACCACGCCACACCGGCCACACCAGAGGAGCAGCGCGGCGGACGACAGGCGTGTTGGACAGTGACGCGACACAATGCCATGCGACATGTGGTGTGCGCCGGTGTGGTGTGGTGTCGTGTGCGTCCCACCTGAGCTCTCCCCCTCCCTCTTCCTCTCTCCCCTCCTTCCTCTCTCCTTCGTCGTGTAAAGAGAATTTTCACCGTCTTTTTGTCTGCCTGCCTGACGCTCACTTGACTCATCCCCAGCTATCTAGCTAGCGTCATCTACCCCCCATGTGACACGATGGATGTCAGGTTGTGTGTGCTGCCTGCCTGCCTGTTTGTATGTATACGACGGAAGGTATGAGTATTGTATCGGTTGGCCATTGGCGGAGAGTACGTGGTCGAGGCTCGGTCGGCTTTGCTGATAAGTGCTGCTGCCTTTTGTTGGTCATGCGCTGCATCTCGTTCACGTCGTGTTGGGTGATCTTCGATCGCACCCCATTGACCATGGGATGGATTCGGTTGAACGTCACCTGGAGCGACAGAGACGGGATGGAGGACAGGGCCATTAGTTAAGGCATCCATACACGCAGCCGCCGAGCATCGCATGCATTGCATCGCACACCTTAATGGAAGAAGCAGTCTCTACCTACCTCTCTCTTTCCATGTATATCAGTGACTCTCCGTACTGGCCGGTTGGCTGACAGACAGACGCGTGAATTTTAAAGGGCTGGATGGAGGACGGACGGACGGACTGATGGGTTGTGCAGACACCACAGCCCCCACCCCACCCCACCCCACACACACGTACAAATCCACACACACTACTTACTGACTGACTGCGTATGTTATGTATCCTCCCTCCTCTATCTGTCTGAGACGCTTTCGTAGATATCTGCATGGCGTGGTGACGGTCATTGCAATGCTATCTATCCCCCTGTATGTGTGTGTGCGTGTGATGCGAACTGCATGCCCGGATGGATGAATTAATCTGATCATGTGTGTTTTGAGATTTTGTCCAGAATTGACACGCGCGCGACGTATCCACATCACACACGCACACGTACACAACACAACAATGTTCTCCCATCTACTTGCTTCAACAGCGTCTCCCGACAAACGAGCAAACCAATCAGTCAGTCAGTCAGTCGGTCAGTCGTTTTTTCTCAACCCTGATAGCCATCCAGAACCTGTCCTCCACCTCTGGCGGATACAGCACATCCCACCACACTATGGCGGTCTTTCCCTCCCTTCCACTGCTCTCGTTATGTGTCTTCACGGCCCGCTCCACCAGCTTCATGATGTCGTACTGATGGCACTTGCGATGCCCAGATGCCGACAGGGCCACAGGGCCGCTGTCGGCAGAGGAGGGAGGGGCGGGGGAGGGGGAGGGGGAAGGTGGGCTGCTTGCGGCCGTGTGGTCATCTTGGTACTTGGGATGCCGCCGCAGTGCTTCTTGTGGCGGCCTGCCGTGCTCCAAGAGCAGCATCTGGCCACCTGGACGACACACCCTGAGTGCAAGAGACCGACAGACACAAATGCACCTCCCTGTTTGGTTTTGGCTTCCACTTCGTTCACCTGAGCAGGTCCATGAGCAGCAGGTGCGGCTCCTCCAGGCAGCACAGCACCTCACAGCTGACCACCGAGTCGAAGGCCTCGGCTGGGAATGGCAGCGGCAGACCGGCCGTGTCCTCAACATTGACGTTCACAAATCGGAAAGGCACCGCGCGTTCGGATAGCTTCAGCAGAAGGCTGCGGTGTGAGATGGCCTCGGTGCCTGTGAGCTGGCAGGGGGACTTCCGGCGCATCATGCGTGTCGGATGCAGCGGGTCGAAGTCAGCCGGCAGCTGCATGGGCTTCCGGTCGACGGCTGTGAGGGAGCTGACCTGAGCCATGTCGTAGTGGCCCAACGACGGCGCTGATTCACCAATCCCAACTTCTAGAACGTCGCCTTTTGCTCGCCGATAGAGATCCTTCTCAACGGCCTGCACATCACAGAACACTCATACAACGCAAGTGTGCCTCTGTTGGTACCTCTTTACCTTTTTCTGCTGAATGCATTCGGCCCATTCCAGGAACCTCCTCTCCTCACCTGTCAGCTCAGGGGACAGATCCCACCTCACATCAGCGTCACCTCTGGGCTGCCCAGCATGCTGAAATGGTGGCACGGACTGCTTCGCAGGCATGCCGGCATCCACTTTCTTCCCATTACTCTCACAGAGAGCTGTTGTGGTGGGACGCAGGACACTCATGAGGGGGAGGGCTGCTGCTGCTGTGACGCAGGTGACCGTTGAAAAGCGGCTGCTCGTTGTGGAGAAAGGCCTCCTTGAGCGTGGCCTCGTGGACGCGTGAAAGATCTACACGGATGATCCGTCGATTCATCGGTATGATTTCATCCTTTTTCATTCACCTTGAAAAGCAGCCGGACGCTGCGCATCTGCTGCGGTTCTCTTGTCCCTTTGCTTCACTCATCACCTTTTGAGCTCGCAAGTCCGATCAGTAGCTCGCAGAGGCAAGCAGCAGAAACAAATGACCGAAACGGCAAACACACATCTGCACAGAGGTAGGACAGGCAGATTTGTGAAGCAAAAGCCAAAACATCGAAGCATCTGTCATCCCTGATGGCTGTGTTCATTGTGCAGACGGACTGACGCAGTAAGTGACGCACAGATTCAAGCATTGCTCGGCGGATTGTCGCACCAGCGAGGTACAACCGATACATTCTACAACAATCATCTTTCATCATCCTTATGGCTGTTTTCACTGTGCAGGCGAGACTGGCTGAATGAGTGACGTATAGGGACTGCATTGCTCAGCGGAGTGTCGCAACGGCGAGGTACAACAGATGCACTATAACTTCGTGCTCTGTCAGCCTTCACTCTCAGTATTTGTGTGTTCACTGTGCAGACGAGAGTGGGAGATGGACTGAGTGAATGAGTGACAAAAGGCCTGTATCCCAAGGCGCACTGTCGCGGCAGCAAGGTACGACAGGAATGCTACAAACTGGTGCTGTGTCAATGAATGTCATGTCTGTGGCTCGTTGGGTCTGCTGTATGAAGCTCTGAGATTTGGAAGGAAGCACTACGGGATTTCACTCATCTGCCCTGGAGCTACACTCAAGCAATAAGGTGAGAGACTGACAGGCAACTATCCGCCTGCCCACACAGCGTCTTGGCCCATCCTTTGTTTCCCTCTGTGCGTGTCTGCAGGCTGTGGCTGTCAACACCACACACATGGAGGCCGCCATCCCTTACTGGGACACTACCGTCATTGACACATATGACGACCCATCGGCTGACGCGCCATCCGCAGAGGGACTGTGCATCCAACTCGCGCAGACCCTGGGCCTGCTCCAGCCCTCCCCTCCCATCCTCCCGGGAGCAAACCTATGCGGCCACGGCGACAACAGGGTGCTTGTCGTGTGGCGCGGAGGCGTTTTGTGGCTTTATCGGCACGCGAGCGACCGGCCAAAGGGCTTCCATCGGCCCTACAGGCTGCAGCTGACCGAGGACATCGTGTGGGCCCATTTCTTCCCGAAAGCTCAGTTCCTCGCCATCATGGGCCAGGATCGCAACCTGCTCCTGCTAAAACTGCGCTTTGTGGCGGGGTCGATGGAGGACGACACGGGGCGTGCGGCTGCGCCGAGGATGGGCATCGTGAGGACCTTTCACCATCGGGCTGATCGGCTCGTGGCATGCCACGCCATCGACGCGCAAGATGGCGATCCGCACGTGTGTGTTGCGAGGGCGCCATGTCGGCTGGAGTGCATCCACCTGTCGGCACTGCAGAATGTCTTGTCAAGCGGCGATCGCAACAGGGATGATCCACCCGGGTCCAGCACGTTGCCGACTCCCCTGGACCCGAGCTGCATCCAGACACTGGACTGCAGCCGAGCGCCGTGGCCCCACTTTGGCGAGGCCCTGTCTGACTGCGCCCCTCCTCTGCCCTTCCCCTCTTCCCTCCCCACCCCTCTCGCGCTCATCCCGCCCACGCCCCGTGCCCCCCGCCCCTCCCTGCTGCTGGCCGGCGTCACTGATCGAGGCCGATGGACCCTCTTCTGCCAGCCGGTGAAGCGCGACACATCGACTCCGTCTGATGACGACGCCTCGCGTCATGATTCGAGTGAACCGCCCCCTCCCGCGGCCAGGGGGAAGCTGCTGCCGATGGTGCCCCTGAGAGCCCTGAGAGCTGAGGCCGCCACACAGAGAGGAGCAGTGGAGATAGGTGGCGGGCAGGCAGTTGGCGGAGATAGGGGACTCGACGACGAGGATGGGAGGCGTCGGCCGCCGGCTATTGTGCATGTTGCATCGAGTCCATCCGGAGGGGCAGTCGCTGCCGTGCTGGGCACCTCAGAGATGCTTTTCTGGAGGAAGGACGACAGGGCGGGCTACGTGCCCTCCCTCTATATTTCTGCGGCTACGTTGAGGCGGCTGAGGGGCCGAGCTGCTGCAAAAACTGACACGGAGGCAGGGGGAGAGCAGGATGTCGACGTGGATGATGCGGACGATGAGTCAACGCCGCTATGGTTCTTGCAAGGCGTCTTCTTCTGGAGTGAGGATGTGCTCACGTGTCTGTTCTCCAACGAGCGGCCACCAACCCTATCGCCAACAGAGTACCTCCGCAGGGCCAGACGGCCGTTTTCCTCCCAGCCGCCTTTGATATCGACCCAGCTACTCTCACTCACCCTCCCATCTCTTTCTCTTGCTGCCCCTCCGTCACAAAGCGCCCTCCAAGCATTCCCGGCCTCAGTGCTGGTCTCTGCTGCCTTTGGGAGGCAACAAGACGGCAGCGATCCGACTGGCTCGTCGCTGTTTGTGCTGACAGCCCACCTGCGCCCTGTTGCTGCCGACGAGGGCGAGGATGCTGATGTGGAGGATGACGCGGGGGGAGAGTTCACGTTAACGCATGTTCGCGCCCTCACACTTGACTTGTGGGTGGAAGGAGCGGTCCGCGACGGCCGGTGGGAGTCGGCAGAGAAGGTCTGCCGGGACCAGGGACGGCACGATCTGTGCGACCGAGTGCTGAAGGCACGCTGGCTGGCGGGGCCGGGGAAGCGGCCGCCGGCAGTGTCCACAATGGAGGACTTCTGGGCCGTTCTCCGCGTCCACGATCTGATATGGCTGGCGCACCAAGCTCTCGAGTTTGATCCAACCAGGCGGGCCAAGGAGGGTGGTGACACGAGTCGGTCGCTGGAGCTCGGCAAGGTGCGTCTGCTGCTGGAGCACGTGATGCAGCGGCTGCGCAAGACCACTCTCGGAGGCCCGCTGGGCGACCTGAAGGTCAAGGTGCAGGCGTACCTGTCGCGTCTCGACTCGTACCAACAGATCCTCAACAAGGCCGCATCGGGCGAGACGATGCTCGACCCACTGGCGCCGCCGCCCTCAGCTGCCGAGAGCGGGGCAAGCGAGGCGACACTGTCGTGGTCGGAGTTCCGCGATATCACTCCGGCCAAGGCTGCCAAGCTGGCTGCATCCAAGGGCGACCTGACCATCTTGCGCGTCCTCGTCAAGCGGCACGGCCCCGAGTTCCAGCGGATGACATCGGGGTGGGAGGGCATCCTTGACGCACTGCCCGAGACGCTGCCCGTGAAAGACATCGCCGACCTCTTGCCGTGCCCTCCAGTGCCTGTGGTGACAACTGGGTCACAGTCCGCCAAGCCCATTCTCAAGGTGGCCACGCTGCTGCTCGACACCGATCGGGAGAGGATATCCCGATGGGCGCTGAAGAGGGCCAACGTGTTGCTGCGTCGGACGGGACTGGTGGCAAGTGTCGTACTGCCCTTCGTCTACGCCATGCTGTCCGTCACACTGCGCAACCAGCCCCCAGCGGCCATGAGGAAGCGGCCATCGACGGCCATCGACGGGCAGAAGGACGACTGGTTTTCCTCCTCCCAGCCGTTTCTTCAGCTGCCGGCCATTTCGAAGCAGACGACGTCATCGTTCCTGACCGAGGCACCGAGCATTCTCCTGCTGATGGCCATGCACGCACTGGTGCACCAGTGGCTGCTGCTCAAGAGGGCGGAGGAGGGCAGGGAAGGTGCAACGGCGGTTCCTTCCTTCGAAGCCTTCATGGAGCTGTCATACCTGGATCGCCTCGAGCTGGCGCTGGCCAATGGCACTGCCGACCCGGCTGATGCTGACAAAGGCACATACCTGCCCACCAAGATCCGCAAGGTGGTGTACGAGCCGACAAAGCCTTTGCAGACAGCCGTGGCTATCGGCGAGTGGACGACCTTCCCCGGCGGTCCGAAGGGCATGAGCGCCGCCAGCGCAAGATCGCTGAGGAAGATGATCGAGATGCCCCCTGAGAGCGCCCTGATCGCATACTTTCGACAAAGACTGCAAACGTGGTCGCCCTTACCCTCGTCAAGCGACCAAGAGCGTGACCGGAGGATTGTATCGACTACTCACCATCTCGGCCATGGGTCGCTGCTGGGGCCCAAGGCACTCGTGTCCATCAAGAAAGAGATGGAGCTGATCGCAGAGGTGGTCAAGGAGAGCGCCCCCACGTTGCCAGGCAGCTCGCGGCTCATTCGGTCCTTCACGAAGCTGATCGGCTTCGTGCTGTACGTGACTTACGAGGGCACGAGCGCCTGCCCCGCCGGCCTCATCCTCAAGCCAGTCGAGGCCATGTACCTCTGCTTGCCCGCCAAGGACACGCTGCCGGCCGACGCCACCGATGAGGAGCGGCAGGAGTGGATCAAGCTACACCAGAAGGCCGACCTGCTCGACCGCCACCTTACCGCAGCGGAGCTGCTGATGAAGCTGGGCGGCAGCGGGGCATATGGAGTGCCGTTCTGGACGCTCGGGGAGGCTTCGACGAATCCCCAGCTGTGTGGCCGTCTCTTCTGGGGCCTTCTCCGCGGCCTGGCGTCCACCTACCGGTCCGCTGCCTTCTGGCGCGGGGTCATCGAGGACTGCCAGAAGCTGCAGGCACATGCACTCGGGGCTCTCCGGGTCGAGTCACTCTACGAGATGCTGGTGACGGTGCTCTGCTACTACACGGACCATTCAGAGGTGGCGACCAAGGTCATCGAGCTGTGGAGTGCACGCAGCGAGGCAAATGCAGACCGGGAGTTCCCCCAGAAGCTCGCCACTCACCTGACCACCATCGCCAAGGAGCTTGTCAACTCGGCCCCGTCGCTGGCCCACCCGGCACTGGACAAGGCGTCGAGGTGTCTCCGGCTGGCTCCAAGTGAGGTTGCTGAGGTGCAGGGTGAGAAGCAGTTCATCCAGGCGTGTCAGGCCCTTGACTGGCTGCTCAGCGCCTCACACAAGGAGGCCCTCGCTGCCGCACTGAATCCCCTCGCTTTCGCGGCTCAGGGACTGAGTTCCGCCCTTGCAAGGGCGGCTGAAGACAAGGCGGAGGGCGGCAGGAGGTACCCGCCCAACTTCCCCTTCGTCACACCCGCAGCCCTCCGCTTCGCGCCGTCGCCACGAGCCGTCATCGCCGCTTTGCTGCAGGCCAATCCATCTGCTGTAGTGTTCCGGGATCAGCTGGCGCGGCTGGCGGGGCTGTTGGGCGTGAGTGATCTGCGGGCAGCCGTGGGCAATCCGCATCAGGGTGCCGGTCGCGATGTGATATCGGAGTTGCTGTCGTCCACCGAGGGGGGGAGGTCGCTGCAAGAGGTGCGGGCGTGGACATTCCTGCTGCACGAACATTGCCAGGAGGCATACGAGATCTTGCACAGCCTACTGGCTTCCCCGTCAGCCGCAATGGAGCCATCCAAGGGTCTGTGGCACCTCGCTGTGGCAGTGGCCAAGAGCGGTGGTGATCTGTCGACCAACCAGAAGCTGGCGCTACTGTCCCTCGCGGCGCCTGGCTGCCCCGCAGACGACCTGCCGGTGCTCCTCGACGTGTTCCAGTCAGTCGGGCTGGAGCCACTGCAGGCAACTCTCAGTGAAGGCATCGATGAGACAAATGGCGAAGAGACCCCTGAGAGGCCGATAGACTGGCTGCTTGATGAGAGTGACAACAAGGAGGGCGGCGATGCGTCGGTCAGCATTCCCTCTGAGATCCTCCCGGCCCCCTCGTCTATGTTCTGGACGGTGGCAAACCAGTGTGAAAACATCGGGGACGACACGAGTGATTTCCACAGCCCCTTGCTGCTCGCTCTACGGGACCAGCTTCTCGAGAAGGAGGAGGGCGACGAGGCAAATGAGGATGAGCGGCTCTTCCCCATCCCGCTGCCGCTCGCCAGAGGGCCCAAGCAGGCCGTCAGTGACCACAGGAGGACCTATTTGCCAGCGCCTGCCGCCGGCAAGAGGGATAAAGAGGAGGGCAACATATTCGCGTGGCACCGATGGGGTGCGGGTGGAGAGAGGCCGCCGGTCGACCTGTTCACGCACGATGCTGAGTGGGAGTGTCACTTTGGCGTCATCCCTCCACTTCTGCTTTCACAACGACACTTCTTCGCGCCCATCCTGCAGTCACCCTTCCTCTCGCTGCAGCACAAGGTCCGCTTGGGTCGGCTTGCCATCGCCCAGTGCAGCCAATGGCTGGTGCACGACGTCCACCCGTCGTTCGAGCGGCGGGCAGTCGCGCGGCTGGTGTCGCTGCTTGATGCCACTACCTTTTGCGTCGAGATGCAGGGGCTGGAGGCGATGGGAGGGGCGGAGGGAGAGTCGCTGTACATGCGGCGGTTCCTCGTCGACACGGGGTATCAGCGCAGGGTGCTGCTGAACCTCTCTCGGAGGCAGGGTGGGTCGCAGCTCGACCAATTGTCGCAGATCCTGGATCGCGTCGAGCAACTCAAGCAGCCAGTCACTGTCGAGGGAGAGGAGGGCGGGCCACCAGAGGAGCCGTCTGTCCCAGAGGACGGTGCTGTGGGTGCGCGTCTGTCAGTGGCGCCTTACCTCGCTTATGACGCCGATAGCCCGCTCAAGTATCGGCTGGACTGGGAGGGATTACTGGCTATGGCGAGAGAAGCGGCAACGACCGAGAGGACTGCGAGTGCGGCATCGCTGCTGGATTTGCGGGCGGAGAATGTCCGGTGGTCCTTCCTCAATCGGCCTCTGCACGAGGTGATGGCGACGCTTGCCAGCAATGTCCTGCCGCTGCTCCAGGATGGGCCCAGAGTGGCATCGCACATCAAGGACATCATCATGGCGCTCGTGTCGTCCCAGCACCCAGATCAGACCGCCTTGACACCAACAGCTGGCGCAACCGACGCGGCCGCTCCGCTCGACAACGTGTCGAGTCGACTGGTCCTCGCTCGCCATCTTTTCGACATCGCTGCTGATCTGGCTGGTCCGTCGGAGCTTGGCGTTGACTCCTCCCCTCTCATGGGTCTGGGCGATCGAAAGATCACTCGTTGTACGGAGCGGCTGCTCTCTGTCCTGCCCTCGGTGGACCTGTCCACGATCGAGTTGCCGTCAGTGCCGGCCCCATCGGCCTTCTTGCAAGAGGTGGTGCGCAACGCAACGCTCGAGACGCTGCCGACGGTGGTTGAAGTGGTGGAAGAGGCCGGCGATGCGGTGACGATGCTGTGCCCTGCACCCTCGTTGTGCTATCGGGTGGTGGAGCGCTGGATGGACCAGAAGGCGACACTGAGGGCGAGGGAGTGGGGCGAGAGCGTGAGGGAGCAGCTGACCTTCGCCATGCGGAGGCTCACGGCCGATGAGAGACTGCGCCTGCTGCGACGGACGTCACATCCACCCCTGCAGCAGCTCATGCTGGGCATCATGAAGGCCATCGCGGAGCCATCTGTTCAGCCGACGCATGTCGAGCCGCCTGAGGGGGACAAGCCTGAGGAACAGAAAGCCATTGACGACACACGTGAATCAACCAAGGAAGAAACGAGCCAGGCGGCCGTGTCGGCGGCACCCTCCTCCCCCTCGCCCCCCTTGCCGCCGAGAAAGACCGCTGAGGGGTCTTTGGAAGACGTGGAGCTGGTTTTGAAGCTCAGGGGCCAGTTCAGCTCGACCATTGAGGGGCTTAAGGAGGTCGGCGAGGTGGGCGACGAGTGGGAGGCCGATGGCATCAACTTCCTTACACCCTTCCAGCTGGGGCGGCCGCTGTCGCTCTGCCTGTGGCAGTTCTTCGCCGGATCGCCAAATACTGTCTTCGCGACCTTCCTTCCTGATGCCATGAGCGTCCTCAGCGCCCTCCCTGCGCCCCTCGACGGTGAGCCCATCCCGCCCGATCAGCGTCTGGCGGACTATCTTGCCCAGGGCTATTTGTTGGAGATGGAGGAGCTGGAGAGGACGGGCGGCGGCCACGAGGTTCTACTCTCGACACCAATCAAGCGGGCGGAACATCACCAGTTTTGGAATCGTGTCTGTGACATCCTGGGGGAGGCGCTGACACCATGTTTGGACGCTCTGGATCGATTGCTGGATGACGAACACTGTGGGAGCACGGCACTTCGGCTGACGGCGGTATATCTGGCCGGCGTGGCGCTATCTGGTGTGGTGGAGAGGGGCGCTATGGATGAGGAGAGAGGCGGGGAGCTGCTGGCCAAGCTGAGGAGGGGGGCTGTTTTCCTGGGAGCCCAGTATCTCGTGCAGCAGCACTGGCCCGACGTGTCCTCACAGCTGCTGCGCTCGTGGTTCGCGTCTTCCACCCCGCCATCGGCCCTCATCGACTTCACTCGTCAGCTGGTCGCGAGCCTGGCCAGCCAAGCCGACCGGCAGAATGCGGCCAAGGCCGTGATGAAGTGCCTCGTGCTGTTCGAGGACCTGTTTCTGCCGCCCTCCCCTCCGCCTGGCTGGCTGCCATTCCATCTCAACCTGGCGGGCGACGCAGCGACCCAGGATCCCCTGGATGCACCCCAGCCAGCCAGCGACCTCAGTTCGCTGTGGGAGTCGCTGCTGCGTGCTGCGCCGTGTGATGCATCATGGCTGGAGATCAAGATGTGGGCGGGACGGACTCGATGCAAGGGGGTGGGGGAGGGCGGCTGTGATGCTCCACTGGCACTGACCCTCTCATCCACGGAGGACATTACGGGTGCCCTTGACAGTCTGGTGATGGAGCAGAGGGGGACGGGCCGGTCGGGAAGGAGGGAGGAGGAGGGTGGGCTGAGTGCTGCGGGTGGCTCTTTGGCGGTGCTGCAGCTTGTGGCTCTAAGTCAGGCCTCTGTGGCGTTTGTCAACACGGCATTTTTCGACACATTGCTGCCGGTGCTGCTGCGGACGCAAGAAGAGACGCCCAAGGACAAGACGGCTTCAGGGCTGTGGGGCGTGCTGGACCAGTGGAGGCGGGAGCTTTTCGCGAGCGATGTCAGTGATGACGGCAGCACCACCCAGACACCAGCTGAGAAAGGAGAGGGCCCCACCTGCGCGTATCTGGACATGTTGCTGCGTCACTATCGGCACAGCCTGGCTCTGCTTCTCGTGGCGTATCTGTGCAAGAAGGGCGCCATCACCACTGCCGTGTCGATCGTGAACGAGCTGCTGGACCCCGCCCCTCCCCCGCCCGTCTTGTCAGCTTTTCGCCGCACCTTCCCGCAGCTGCTATCCTGTCTCAGGCAGTACTCATCTTGCCCCGATTCGCCACAAGACACACCATTGCCCCTCCTATCCCACCACCCACCACCTCTCCCGTCCCATTGGAGCGACCCCAACGACCCTTTTACGACGTCTCTGTTCCTCTCACTTGTGTTCGGTGGGTCCGAGGGGGAGCAACGAGTGCTGATGGATGCGGCCAGAAGCCTAATGACGCGTCCGGTGGTCGAGCAGCCGGAGGACAAGTCAGCATCACCTGTAGGGGGCAGCGGGAAGGTGGACGAGCCCGACAGCGCGGCCAAGAGTGAAGGAGACGAGGCGTGGGGCGAGGGGTGGGACACTGACCTTGACTTTGGCGATGTTGATGTGGACGTTGAGGCGACTCTCACGGAAGAGAAGAAGAGCGAGCCGGCCGCGGCAGGAGGAGGAGGGTGGACGCTGATTGAGTGGGGGGGAACAAGGAAGGTGGCAGGGGAGATGTCTGCGTGGGTGACCTACTGGGATCGCTATGAAGCCTATGTGAGAGGCCAGATCGATGGAGCTTGTCAAGTGCTGGAGGCGCTGCGAAGGGACGTGCAGACCAGTTTGTGAGTGATGTAAGGGTCCGTATGTGTGGGAGAGAGAGAGGGATCACGATGCGTGTCTTGTAAAGGGGTGACCGAATGGGTTTTTAAGCCAGGGCTGAGTCGTCACGTTCTGTGTGCAATTGGGTTGGTACGCTAAGACGTTGGTTGACATTTCGGTGTGAACGTTTGCCCATCCATCCATCGGTCAACCCTTCCATTTGTCAGCATGAATACATACATGTGACCATGAATCTCCATCACATCCATGCACAGCACTCACATCCCTCTGTCCTTGATGGAAGTCCGTCTCCTAGGCCTGAGGGAGGGAGGGAGACAGACAATAAATGAAATACAGTACCCAAAGCCATACTGCATACACATGTGTCTCTCCTACATGAGAGAATTGGCGTGGCGGCGGCAGAATGGCAGGCTCCGGGGCACTCGGCATCCCCACAGCAACAGCCCTCCTGCTGGTCTGCTCAACGAATCCCTGCCTGAATGCGATGGCCGCCCTCTTCGCGCCCTCAAAGCCCAGCACCTCACAATCGAACAAGTATGTATCGCTGCCTCGTGGTCTGCCCGTGATGTCGGAACACTCGGCCACAAACCTGCTGTTGCCCGGGTCATAGAACACGCCGCCGTTTGGTGGACTCCGCGGGTAGGATCGCGGGCGGCTCTGAGGCTGCACGGTCTGATCCGGCTTCCTCTTTAGAGGTGTGTCAGCACTTGGATCGAAGACGACCTGAGAGACACAGAGGCGAGTGTGCATTGGAGGTATGCGGTCTCCCGGCGTGAGCTCACCTTCTTCCTGCGCTGTCGTTTCCCCAGAGGGGCCTCCGTAGCCTGGCAGCAAACAAAAGAGGTAATGAGACACGCCATGGGAGACACGGCTTGATCCCTGTTCTCACCTGAGATGCTGAGGCCCCTGCTCCTCCTCCCTCCTCCTCATCCCCATTCCCAGCAGCGTCATTGGGCTCGTCTACACATGGGGCCGTCTCTTGTTCAGCCTTGCCGGCAAGAATCGTCAGTGACTTGAGGGCTTTGTCGAATGCAGCCTTCACCTCGTCCCTCCCTGCTTCGCTCGGCAGCACCCTGCCCGTCCACTGCTGCCCAGTCGCGTTGGCCCTCCCGACAAAGCGGCGCTGGCCCGCATCCCATTCGATCGAGATGTCGGCGCGATTGCGGAAGGGCTTCAACAGGCTATCGGCAATGCGATTCAGATAGACAGGATTCTGCTTGTCGAAGACGCGCTTCTTTTCTGATCCGCAGCGAGGTGCGAAGGGCTCTGACACTGCAAGGATAGATGTGGTTGGTCTGAGAACGTCCATGGGATCAGGGCCCTCCTCCTCCTCGCTGTCTGGATGAGACGAAGAGGAGGGCGTCAGGGGCGTGCCGTCAGAGGAAGATTGGCTCGATGGCTGTCCTCTCGGCTGCATGCACTGGTAGTCAACATCCATCCCAGCCCCGTCACTGAAACCGTCAATCAACCTGCCGTATCCCTTCCACTCCTGCAGCCCGATATCGACGGCCATCTCGTTGCGGGCGACGATGGCCGAGCGGAGAGTGTGGAAGAGGGGCACGCCAGAAGTCAGATGAAACAGCTCCAGTACCACAGGCGTCCCCTGGCCGCGGTGACAGGTGGCGACAAAGCAGTCCTGATGGCACACGAAAGAGAGGGCAAGTTGAATGCGTCCCATGTACACTCGTGAGCGTGGGCTTACTCACCGGGTCAGTGCGGAACTCCACACTGGCATGAGCTGAACACAGCACGGATAAGTACTTCAAGGAAGTGCAAATGCAAGACTGGTTTCATTCGTACCTTCTTCTGGCGATGTTGATGCATCGTCTGCGAAGTGTGTAGAGAGCCTGGCGACGAGATGGCTGCAGAGCCGCCGATGCAGAATCTCTCTCTCCATCGGCGACTCGCTTTTCTCTCTTCCCCTGCGGGGGGCAAGCGACCTCCCTCAGATTTTCATATAAATGGGTCTGCTGTTGGCGAGCGAGTGAATTTACAAACTCCTTGAGCTCGCGGCTCTCCTTTTCCGCGCGTGAGGCTGTGCCGTCGCTGGCTGCACACCAGGTAGACGACCTGGGCCGTGATCCACGATCCGGTCCCGTATTGACCGCAAATTGTGGCGCGCAGCCCTCTGCTGGTTACCATCAACAGCTACGTCAATGCCCAAGGTCCCAAACCATCCATCCATCCATCCATCCATATGGAATGTGAGAAATTCAATGCCGTTTGCTCTCTTCCCTGTCGCTGTTTCCTATGCAGGTGGTGCTGCACAACTCTCCGCAGATGGACTCCCCTCAGTAGAAAGTAGCCAGCATGGTGAGCAAACGCATCCATCATCGACGCTGCCTTGATGTTGCCTGATGTTGTGTGCAGGAGCCTCCGATCAATGGCAATCACTACCGCCTCGTTAGCCGGAGCGGCCGACAGCCCAACAATGACGGACCGGTGCGTCAGATCCCTCCCTCCGTCAGTCCCATGCGTTGTGTGTGTCAGGCTCAGGATCGCATCGCGCGTGAGACCCTGCTGTCCATCTACGGCTACATACCCCCCTGGGCCGTCACCCGCGTCGCACCCAACAAGCGCGTCCTCTCGTCCACCCCGCCCCTCTACGACCACTTTGACATCGACTGCTCCGACGAGACAACGCGTGGTGTGTGGGAGCGGCTGCCCAGCAGACTGGCGCGCAAGTGGGGTGCCATGGCGAGGAACCTGAAGCAGGTGACGGTGCGATACCCACACTGTCACCTGCGCGACGGTGACGAGGGTGACGATTGGTGCCAGTGCACCTGGGTGAGTGTGATCGAGGCGCATGCGACTGCGCGCGAGGCCCACAACAAGAAGCACGACAAGGACAAGGAGGGCGGCGCCCAGGGACCGGCCGGGGAGCAGCAGGGAGGGTCCCTCCACACCATCACCTTCGAGAAGGTCGAGCTGACCAACGATGAGTTCCGTGCCCTCGACTGGCAGGATCCTCGGTCCCTGATTTTGCGCCGCCCTTTGAGGTCCGTCACCCTCTCTGGCCTCAAGAGCATCCGTGGTCTCCGACATGCGCACTGCACGCTGATCGACGAGCGCGGCTGGGCCATGCCATCGCTAGAGCGTGCGGAGGGCCACGCGTGTGGGAGCTTCATCCGCACATCCGGCAGCCTGACGGACCTGGAGGTGCGGACGAGCCCCACAGGGCTGGCTAACTTCTTAGGGGTTGTGCCGGTGCCGGCTGAGGGGCAGCGCTCGAGGTTGGCGGGCCTCCGGACACTGGGAGTCATTCGTAGATAGCCACGGATTCGAGTCCCCGTTCGTCGGGGCTTCATGAGGGGGGCTTCGATGAGGGGAAGTTGGTGCACGGCATCGATCGCTTGAAGGTAGGTACGGGGAAATAAATTACAGAAGGGATCCATGGAGGAATGGACCCTGTGCTGTCCCTGTCGATCTCGCTGTCAGGATGTGCTGCACCGTCACAAGATCCGCTCTCTAACGGAGATCAAGGCTGCCGTGCCTGTCGTCCACCGCGCCGTCAACACTTCCAAGCTGCTCGCCTTCGTGCAGGCTCTCGAGGCGCTCGAGGCGTCCCTCACACCAGCCACCTCGACCAACACCACCACCACCAGCATCAGCACGGCATTCGCCAGGCCACTGCAAATGGTGCTGGTCAACCGACTCACTGTCAAGACGATGCGCATCTCCCTCCCCCTGGATCGGCAGTCCGCCTTCCCATCCCCACTCTTCGCGGCCGCGGTGAGACACATTGCCAGGAGGGCCGAGTCGGTCATCTGGGACGTCGACCGGGCACACGTGGCCGCCCTCACCACGCCCACCACAGCCGAGAAGGAGCTCATGGCCGCCCTGCGATTCGACAAGGCCACCACAGTGAAGTTGCGGGGTGGCGGTGGGACACTCGCATCCACCGCCGCCCTGCATGACCTCTCGCCCGACGCATTTCCCGCCACGAAGCTGGTCATCGACACTCGTGGGGGCTGTGTCACTGCTGCGAGCATCTTGGCATCCAAGATGCCGTGTGTGCGTGATGTGAGACTGGGGGTGAGTGCTGGGGAGGGGGGCTCGGGAGTGTTGGCTGAGGGGGAGGTGGTAAGCATCTTGAGATCGATAGGTGGGAAGAGGCGGCTGGCTAGTCTGGTGGTTCGAGGTGTTGTGTTGGGGGAAGGGGGGCTGATGTGGGGGGAAGGGGGGCATGAATTAGAGATAGAGGACCTGGAAGTGCACATAGACGGTGAGTGGGCACCTGTAACATAGATAGACATGGACAAAGTGTTGTGTGCGGCTGTATTGCAGGTTTCGCTCTCCCTCCCTGGGACAAAGTGTTGTGTGAGGCTGGACCGTGCAGTGAAGCCGCTGTCACGTCATTCGTCTCCAGCGTGCCGTCTCTGCTCCAGCTGCGAGGCATGCGCGTGCTCAGGATCATGGTCAGCGGCAGAGACCTGCAGGAGAACTCTGCCAGGGCCATGTGGCTTGCGCTTCGAGGGCATTTCCCCGAGGTGTACAGGAACGAGGTGGACGGCTTCAACGTCACATGGAGCCAGAAGCCGCGCGTTCTTCACTTGACGTACGATGACGGCTTCGGCTTCAGATGGGGCGGGGACTGGGTGTACGAGACGACAGTGACTGCGAGACGCATCGACACCTAGACCACAAGGTCGGTCAGACAACAAAGGCCATGCCAGGCACCATGGGAACATGTGTGTCTGTGTGATGATCAGATAGATTGGTTGGCGGGCGGGGAGGCCGTCTCTTGTCATGGATGGCCTGTCTGCCTGCATGTCTGCATGATGAAATGATGAATGTTGCGACGTTAGAGTGACGCGCGGGAGACACCGATGGATGCAGACGTCCCCGTGTAGACGACCACATTCACCAGGCAGAGAAACACAACGGGAGGAAGGATGCGTACGTGCGTGATTCGTGTGTGTTACGGGTACGCTATGCGTAATCAATCATCAGATATCATGAACAGCGAGTCTCATCCATATGTAGGCAGACCGCTCTCATACCCATCCCCCTATGTCAGATTGATGGTCAGTCCACCCAAGTCAGGTGCATCAGGACTCACTACCCTCGGCGGCACCAGCAAAGCCATGTACTGGGTCACAATCTGAACAAAACAAACAACGCAGACAGTCAGATCAGCAACGGTCCATACCGATTTTGTGTGCCGTTTGTGTGCCGACTGACCTCTCCGACGTCCAGCCGTCCGTCTGTGATTTCGTCATCCCAGTCATCTTCATCCGAGTCGGGCATGTCCTCCCGCTCGGCCTCGATGGCCGCAGCCACGGGATCAATCACACGCTTCTTCGGACCTTTCCGCCGAACTGGATAAGAGTAGACACACAAAAGGCAGCTGCCACTGCATTGCTTGCATTTGTTTCTGTTGCGGGTGCTGACCTCTGTCATCTTCCTCGCCTCTGACGGCGATGATGGTCTCGAATGTGTGCTGCTCAGTGCTGGAGAGAGGCTCCTCGGTCACATAGCAACAGCGAAGGACGTCAGCGGTCAGAGAACCTGCAGACACTCACACAATCAAATGACAACGTGGGCAGATTGGGCTCTCTATAATTTGGCCATTGTCACCTTCAACTCTGATGCGATTTCTGCGTGTCCGTGTGAGCGTCAGATTGGCACTCAGCTGACCCAGCCCACCAAACTTCAACCTGCACACACAGAATGCAAACAAATGACCAAGCGGTCAGCAGATGGGCTCGGTGCGTGTTGCTGCCCACCTCTGCGCCAGTGCGTTGCACTCCTCCGGCTTGGCCTGAACGCGCATCCGGACGGATTTGCCCACCGCCCTCAGCCTCTTGGACACATCCACTATCCGCGAGAACTCAGCCGGCAGGTCCATCATGAGCTTCTCGTCACCCTTTTTCGCCATTTTCGGCTGTACCTGGAGGCTGATGGGAGATTCACCATCGCCGACAGGCAGCTCAGCGAGCCCCAGGCTCTCCAGATCCAGCGGCGAGATCTCGGCCCAATCCTCCTCGTCGCCATCGGTGTCATCATCGCTCTGACCAGGCACTCCTCGTTTCCTCCTCACGTTTGCTTGCGGCTGTGCCTGCACGTGCTGCCTCGCTAGGTGGCGGATTGCCTTCTGCTCCTCCAGATGGGCCAGCAGGTCATGGACGTCCACCGTAGCCCCACTCTCGCCCGCATCGTCATCATCGGGTTCGTCTTGCAGCTTAGTCGTCGTCTCGTCCATCAGATCCGCCCATGAGGCTTCGTCCCAGTCAGTGGCCTTCTTCCGAGCGCTCAATGCAGTCGACAAGAGAGGGAGCGTTGCTGACGTCCTTCGGCGCGGTGGCAGGCATCTTGAATGCACATGGTGCGGAGGAAGTACAGGACAGGGAAAGGGCTGCATGAGGAACGCCGGCGACTCGGGGAGGGCAGAAAACGCCGTGGAGATGAATGCAGCTGACAGCTTCATTGCCAAACAGATCTTGAAAGCCACTTTCAACTACAGAAAGCCGTCAGCGCCAGCGAACAGTATCAGAGGCAGATCTTCATTGTGTGCTTCGAAACAGTGGCGAGCTCGTCTGCAAGCTCAGCTCGCAGCCGCTAACTGTTTTTCGGTTTTCTCTTCTGCAAATCTGATGCATCTGTGATGCCACCGTGGTGATGCTTGCCTTCACCCGCCCCACTGCCCTTCTGCTCACGGCCTTAGTTGCGGCTTTCCTGCTGTTTGGCACCTTCCCTGTCAGAGTTCTCCTCGGCCTCGACGGCAGAAATGTGTTCGAGCTCAGCAAGCTCAGCCGATTCGTCCACCCAACCTTCCATCAGCTGGGATATGTCTTCAGAGGCAAGGCACGCTCTGCAACTCCAGGCATCAACGGTGACTTCGCCGATCTGGAGGCACTGGAGAGTCAGCTGGAGGTCCCTTTCTACATCTACGAGACGCCGGCGGTGCGGGAGCTGTATGACATCTGCCAGGAGGCTGCTCGCGGGATCCTGAATGGCACTTGGCCGTCGCACTTGCCCACATACAACAAGAAAAACATCGGTGAGAGGAGAAGAGAGAAGCACACCTGATGAAAGAGCGCCCGGAGGAATGCATCGCTGATGGTATCTGTCTGCTCTGCCTACGTGCAGATGAGGTCTATTGGTTGGATCAGTTGTGGAACGATCCATGGAGAGTGACTGATCCCGAGAAAGCCCTCGTATTTGTCATCCCTGTGTACCCTGGTACGCACCGAGCCAGCCATGAAGCCCTCACAAACCATGTTCTGACGGGCGCTTCCTGGTCTGCTTCGCATTCTCAGTGCTATCTCTTGAGCGCGCTTGCGAAGGCAGGAGTCATAAGATAACACATAGTCTTGCGGACAAGGCGGTCGAGGAGATACAAGCGATGCCATACTGGGGCAGAAATGACGGGCTGGACCACATTGTCATGGTCAGCCAGTGCACATGTGCCGATTATCTTCATTCACTCACAGCAGCTATGCATGTCTGCTCTCTTCTTGCATCAGGCTGTGGACTATCGGTTCAGCTTTGGCAACATCAGGGGTGCTTTTGGCGGCAAATTCGGCGACCTGGCGAAGAACATCACCTGGGGGCGGAAGCTCAGCGAGAGAAGTAGTCATTTCCACATCCACCCGTCCGTCTGTTCTCGGCTCGTATCTTGTCTTGTTTGTGTTTGTGTGTGTCCGAACAGCTAAGGCGCAGTACGCCTGTGGCGTGACAGCTCCCTTCACGTAAGCGAGCCAAATACGAGAGCGGCCATCCATCCGTCACCAACCTCACAATGCCTGTCTATTTTGACGCCTTCTCGCCACTGCTGCAGGTCGGCGATGAGTTTTCTGCAGAGGGCCTACCGTCCCTTTGAGAAGGAGAGTCTGCTCGAGCGGGGCCTCGTGGACGCTGCCGACGTCTTTGAGGACGATCGCCTGCACACCGCCTTCAACCCGCCGTCCAAAACGGACTGGTTCGCGAGGGACTACCTCATGTTTTTCCAGGGTACGTGGGCGGATGTGTGCAAAGGAAGACTGACCACAGGCCACTCATCTTCCTGTCTGCATGTCTTCACTGCTTGGTTGGTTGGTTCGTTCAGGCCAGGCCGACAATCGGGGCGCGTACACGTATCGCAGGCGGGGCTTCGAGCAGCTGGCTGGGTGGCACTACACGCCCGAGTCGTGTCCCGACTGCCCTAGAAGCTCCAACGTCTTCGTTTCTGCATCAAACCCCCAGGACTACACCGTCCTCGACGCAGACGGCAACAAGAAGAAGGAGCGTATCCCCGAGTGCCCCCGGAGAGGCAGGGAGAGACGAGCGTTCGGGGTGCAGCTGGGCAAGTTTGAGCGGTGCCGAGGGTTGACGCCGTCGACACGGAAGGATCAGACCGACCTGAGTGTGTTCAAGGCTGCCACCTTCATGCACCGGCTGAGCAACTCGAAGCTCAATCTGTGTTTCCGCGGCGACGACGTGACGAGCAACCGGTATACCGACGGCTTCTGGACGCGGACACTCAATCTGTTCATCACTGAGGTGGAGCCCATGTTCAGACTGGCCGTTCCCTTCCAATGCGAGATACCATGGTGGTAAGAAGAGCGCCGCCGCAACACACCAAGACACTCAGGCATCCCTTCAGTCAGGCATCCCTGCTGTGTGTCTGTGTCAGGAACTTCACGTATGCGATTGACGGCAAAGAGTACAAGGAGGACCCCCGCAAGGCACTCACACCCATCCTGAGAGAGCTTTATGAGGACCCAGCAGCAGTGCGGGAGAGGCTGCGGCTGATGGAGTACTACAGCAGGAAGGTCCTGTGGAACGCACCTGGCAGCACCACGGCGAGGAGCGTCCTGAGAGCCATGACGCGGCAATGCCTCTCTGACGACATGAAGATGGCCTTCATAGAGAGAACCAGACAAGAAGGTCAGAGAACTCGCACACGGAAGAGCGGCATAGATAAGGGAATGGCCGACGGATGATTCCTGCGCCTCTGTGTTCAGGTGACCCTTTGGATTTTCGAGACCATGAGTTGTTTGCGCCCTGTCGCTTTCCCGACAAGTCTGCCAAGCGAGAGGAGCAGTCGAAAACAAAGCCGGCCAACACTAATGTTCCAATAAAGAAGCGACGGCGCATTTGAGGGGAGGTGGAGCCGCAGCCTGGGCTGCATTTGCTCGCCTGGGCTGGG